CACCACAAAACAAATGGACAGCTGTCTGGAGAATGCTTTATAAAAGCAAGTCTTGGCTCATTGACTTAAAACAAATGGGAGGAGCTGTTATATTGGGGAGAAGTGTTAATTCAGGGTCTTGAATACCATCACACTAGATTTGTCCATTTCCCTATGGTTTAATACTGCCAGAGATGGGGTAGAGAATTATATCCTATTTTTCTAGCGAGCAAAAGAAATCTAGACAGATTCATTCAAGAATAAACTTTCTCACAGAGGTTGCATTTTTTAAAAATTGGGAAATCTGCCAACTGTATTTTATTAATGGCAAAGGACTGGTCATTTACATAAAATGTGGCCATTTGAATAAATAGCACTTATCTGAGTTATCTAACAAAGAAACTGGCACAAAAGAGTAGAGATAAGAACAAAATGATGTCTTTCTATAATACATAATTTAGCACATTTTGTGAAAATAAATGTTCCAAATTTCTGCTTAAATGGTCTTCGATATTTCTCTGGCATTAGATTCTTGGTCAAGTTTTAGATTTGGGCTTGGCCAGTGTGGCTCAGTGGTTGAGCATGGACCCAGGAAACAGGAGGACTGCTGTTGAGGGCACATGCCTGAGGTGTGACTCAATCCCCAGTAGGGGGCGTGCAGGAGGAGCCTACTGATGGTCTCCCCTTCATGTTTCTATCTCTCCATCCCTCTCCCTTTCTTTCTAAAACATTAATAAAAATTTATATGTGGGGCCCATTTGTTATAAAAAGAGTCTATGCTTTCTCCATTGCATTTGTATTCCAGTCCAAAAAGCAAAGGGGCTGCCATTCTTTGGAGCAGCACCTGCTCCACAGGGTATTGCCCCAGGTGCAGGCGTTAATGCTGTCACAGGTTTTCCCACTCTCCACTGCGCTCCAAGGGCAACTTTAAAACCCCTACATTAGACTTCTTGATAGTGTTGAATTGCTTGGTGTATTAAAAAGCGTTTCTTAAACCTCCAGTTTTACAGTTTTCTAGCCTAAAAGTTCCAGTCTCCAGTTGTATTTGAGAGAGAAGAGCTTCAATTTTCTCAAAGATCTTAAAACAAAACTAAAACAATATATATTTTTATTGATTTCAGAGAGGAAGTGAGAGGGAGAGATAAAAACATCAGTGACGAGCCGAAACCGGTTTGGCTCAGTGGTAGAGCGTCTGTCTGAGGACTGAAAGGTCCCAGGTTCGATTCCAGTCAAGGGCACGCACATTGGTTGCGGGCACATCCCCGGTAGGGGGTGTGCAAGAGGCAGCTGGTTGATGTTTCTCTTTCATCGACATTTCTAGCTCTCTATCTCTCTCCCTTCCTCTCTGTAAAAAATCAATAAAATATATTTAAAAAAACAAAACAAAACAAAAATCAGTGACGAGAAAGAATCATTGAATGGCTGCCTTCTGCATGCTCCACACTGGGGATCAAACCTGCAACTGCAGCATGTGCCCTTGACCGTAATTGAATCTGGAACCCATCAGTCCACAGGCCGATGCTCTATCCACTAAGCCAAACCGGCTAGAGCCAAAATAAAAATTTTAATGAATTGATTTTTTAAAATGGTAAGGGGTTGCCAGGACCATTCAATAGGGAAAGGGTGGTCTTTTCAACAAACGTTGATATCCAATATGCACATACAGAAGAATGAAGTTGTAACCTGACTTTATACCATGTGCAAATTATTAACACAAAATGGACCAGAAACCCAAACGTAAGAGAGAAAACTACAAAACTTCCGATGTGGACACAAAGGAAGAGACTTACTGGATATTGATATTGGACCTAGTAATATCTTTTTGATATGTCACCAAGCAACCAAAGAAAAAATAGATAAATCAAACTTCAGTGAAATTAAAAACATTTGTGCATTAGAAGACATTACCAATATACTGCAAAGGCAACTCACAAAATTTGAGAAAATGTTTGCAAATCATATCAGAGGGCAATCCCGTGCAATGCTGGTAGAAATGTAAAAATGATGCAGCCACGGAGGAAAACATAGAAAAAGATTAAACATAGAATTATCATATCTAGCAATTATATTTTTAATATGTACATACATATAGAACTGTAAACAGGACCTCAAACATTTGTACTACAACGTTGATTGCAGCAGCATTATTCAAAATAGTAAAATGTGGGCATAACGCACATGTCTATTCAGGCATGAATTTTTGTTTCTCTAAACAAAACATGGTACATTGATACAATGAAATTCATCTTTTAAAAAAAAAGAAAATTCGCCGAAACCGGTTTGGCTCAATGGATAGAGCGTCGGCTTGGGGACTGAGAGGTCCCGGGTTTGATTCCGGTCAAGGGCATGTACCTTGGTTGCGGGCATGTCCCCGGTAGGGGGTGTGCAAGAGGCAGCTGATCGATGACTCTCTCTCATCGATGTTTCTAGCTCTCTATCTCTCTCCCTTCCTCTCTGTACAAAATCAATATATATATATATATATATATATATATGTTTCTAGCTCTCTATCTCTCTCCCTTCCGATGTTTCTAGCTCTCTATCTCTCTCCCTTCCTCTCTGTACAAAATCAATATATATATATATATATATATATATATATATATATATATATATATATATATATAAAGAAAATTCTGACACAGGCAACACCATGGATGAACCTTGAAAAATTACAGGATACATATATGAGTTCCACCCCTAGTTCAGGTGTGTACGGGAGGCACTGGATAGATGTTTCCTCTTTCTCAAATCAATAAAAACATGTCCTCAGGCGAGGATTAAAAACAAATGCAAAACTGTTATTCTCTGGAGCGTTTCAGATCTTGCTGTGTGGCAGACTTTGTCCGTCGGTTTGGTTCTAATAAACTCAGAAGTCCTCTACAGGTTTGGATGTTCCTTTTGTCGATAACGAGAGTAGTCACATTTACAGAGACAGGAAGTAGGATGGTGGCTGCCAGGAGCTGTGGGAGGAGGAATGCAGTGATGATTAATGAGTATGGAGTTTCAGTTTGGGAAGATGAAAAGTTCTGGACCTGGACAGCAGTGATGGCTGGACAACAATGTGAATGAACTTAATGCCACTAAACTCTACACTTAAAAATAGTTAAAATAGATATTTTGTTACATACATATTACCACGGTAAAAAAAGATTATGCATCTGATTGTGCTTTTAGGTTTATCAACTTAGTGCTAAATAGAAATTCGTTTACAAATTCACATGGACATTGACTCCATTTTTATCAAAATAATTGAAAACATGCATAGAAAAAGGTGATGTGGAAAGGAACATGAGGTAATGATATATATTTTTGTTGTTAATCCTCCCCCGAGGATATTTTCCCATAGATTTTTAGAGAGGAAGGGAGGGGGAGAGACAGAGAGAGAAACACTGATGTGAGAGACTCATCAATTGGTTGCTTCCTGTATGGATGAGGACCGGGGATCAAGCCTGCAACTGAGGAACATGCTATTTTTTAAATTTTATTTTTTAAAAATATATATTTTTTATTGATTTTTTACAGAGAGGAAGAGAGAGGGATAGAAAGCTAGAAACAGATGAGAGAGAAACATCGAGCAGCTGCCTCCTGCACAACCCCCAATGGGGATGTGCCCATAACCAAGGTACATGCCCTAGACCGAAATCGAACCTGGGACCTTTCAGTCCGCAGACCGACGCTCTGACGCACTGAGCCACACCGGTCTCGGCTATTTTTATTTTATTTTATTAATTTTTTATTGATTTCAGAGAGGAAGGGAAAGGGAGAGATAGAAACATAAATGATGGGAGAGAATCATCGATTGTCTGCCTTCCCTCTTCCTCCTGTTAAATCAAACTCTTTGGTAAAGAGCTCCTTTCTGTGGGTTTTGAGGAAGGCTTGGGAAGGCAGGAAAGGAGCCTCACAGCATGCCTGGCCTTCCCCGGAGAACCCGCCTACACCCTCCCCTTAGGCCAGTGACTGGGTACGGCCAAACCACCCCAGATTCTTCCAAAGTCCAGCTGCACCCACCCTGAAACCATGATAACGCACCTGCCCCAGGGCTCTGCATTCTGGCGCCCGCCCCGCCCTCCCTGCCTAACAAACAGGAATCCCTCCCAGAGCATCCGTGCTCGGCCTCGGGGACAGTTCGGGACCGGCCAGGCCCGCTGCTAAAGCGCTTGGGGCTCTTCACAGGCTTCTCTTCGTGAACCACGTGCTGAGCTCGTGAATTCGGGGTCACAGGGTGGTGCGGGTCCCAGGGAGGCGCTGAGCCCCTCAGCACAGCCCCCGGGCCCTCCTCCCACCTCCCTCCACCTCCATCCCCCCGGGTCTGCACCGGGCAATTTCGGGCAGAAGCTACTCAGGTGCCTGGAATTCCACCTCCGGGCCCCGCCCACCGGCCCCACCAGCCAATCAGGGCGCAGAAAGGCCTCGTGGGGGCGGGCCGCCCGGGCCGGATTCCCGAGGCTTTAAATCCGCTGCCGCGGAGGAGGCACAGCCGTCGGAGTTCGAGGATTCAGGACCCGCACGTGCAGACGGCGCCCCCGAAGGTGAGCGTCCCCAGGCCGGGCCGGGCTCCACGGTGCTCGGCCCCCCGGGAACCAGCCTTGCGGGTGGAGGGAGGGTGGAGGGTTCGGGGGTTGCAGGAGGCACCGTCCCGGGTCCTGGCGTGGCGGGCGAGGCAGCCTGACCTCCGACTGCGGGGCCCCCTGCGCCCTGGCAGCGGTGGGCTGGTGTGGGGCGGGGAGCAGCCCGCACCCCCCAGGCCCTCCCGGCTCTGCGCGCCTGCTGTCCCCGGGCCCAGCGGTGCTCTGAGCCTCGGGGGAGTCTGTCCCCGCCCGGCCCGGGGCAGGAGTGGGGTCTCCAGGCTGTTTTTCTGCTCCCACATGCTTAGCCTCCCTCCGCAGCCCCTGTGCAAATACTTGGGAGGATACATTCATGTTTTACACCTGTGACGTCTCCAGAAGGTAGGGTGGCTTTCTAGGAGGGCTGATTTAATCAGATGCTACTTTTTCTTTTCCCTCCCCAGGTGCTGAAACATGAATCCTGCATTCCTCTTGATTGCCCTTTACTTGGGAACAGCTTCAGCTGCTCCGAAACTGGTTGGAAGTTTAGAGGCGCACTGGCACCGGTGGAAGGCAACGCACGGGAAACTCTATGGCTCGGTTGGTGACATCTGAAATGATCAGAGAATGGCCTGGGCTTTTGGAAGTTTACAGCAGAAAGTAGCTCTTTGTTTTCTTTAAAATGTGTTTTTAGCTCTAGCTGGTTTGGCTCAATAGATAGTGTCAGCCTGTGAACTGAAAAGTCCTGGGTTGATTCCGGACAAGGACACATGCATGAGTTTCTGGCTGGATCCCCGATAGTGGGCATGCGGGAGGCAGCCAATTAATGATTCTCTCTCATCATTGATGTTTCTACTTCTCTCCCCCCTCTTCCTTCCTCTCTAAAGACAATAAAAAAATATATATTTTTGTTGCCCCAAATAGTTTGGCTTAGTGGATTAGACTCCGATATCTAATAGCGCCTCGGGCTGCGGACAAAAGGTCCTGGGTTGGATTCTGGGTGTGATTCTGGTCGAGGGCATGTACCTTGGTTGCAGGCTCCATCCCCAGTAGGGGGCGTGCAGAAGGCAGCTGATCAATTTTCTCTCATCAATGTTTCTAACTCTATCCCTCTCACTTCCTCTCTGTAAAACAAAAACAAAACAAAACAAAAAACGCACACAATAAAAATAGATTTAGAAAAAATATTATTTTTTATTGATTTCAGAGAGGAAGTGAGAGGGAGAGAGAAATATCAATGAAGAGAGAGAATCATTTGATTGCCTCCTGCTCACCGCCAACTGGGGATCCAGCCCATAACCTTGGAATATGCCCTTGACCAGGAATTGACCCTGTGACCCTTCAGTCCCCAGGCCTATGCTCTATCTACTGAGCCAAACAGTAGCTTCTTGAAGCTGACTCCTCCCAAGGCAATGACTTCATGACACCCATTACTGACACAATATGGGCAAACCTCCCTGGTGTACGGGGGCTGGAGAACAGAAGTATAAACCTTTCCTGGCCTCAGTTTCTGGTCTGCAAATCCACTTGTAGGCAACTTGGTTTTATTTATTTTTATTTATTTATTTTAAAATATATTTTATTAATTTTGTACAGAGAGGAAGGGAGAGAGAGAGTTAGAAACATCGATGAGAGTCATCGATCAGCTGCCTCTTGCACACCCCCTACTGGGGATATGCCCGCAACAGAGGTACATGCCCTTGACCGGAATCGAATCCGGGTCCCTTCAGTCCCCAAGCCGACGCTCTATCCATTGAGCCAAACCGGTTTCGGCGCGACTTGGTTTTAAATAGCAGTAAAACGAATAGGTTGGTCATATGTTTGCCTCTAGAATGAAGAAAGATGGAGGAGATCGGTGTGGGAGAAGAACATGAGGATGATCGACCTGCACAACCAGGAATACAACCTCGGGAGACAGACCTTCACCTTGGCAATGAATGCTTTTGGTGACATGGTGCGTGTGGCCTGGGAGGCTTGCCTTGCGCTTTCTCTCCTCCCTCAGTACGATACCAACATAATGCCTCGTTTGCCAACATTCTACCTCCTTTTCCTTGAAGACCAATGAAGAGTACACGCAGGTGATGAATGGCCATTGGAACCAGAAGCACAAGAGGAGGAGACTGTTCCGGGAACCTGACGCTGCTGAGATCCCCCCAGCCGTGGACTGGAGGGAAGAGGGCTATGTGACCCCCGTGAAGAACCAGGTAGGACAGCACTCAGCAGGTCTCTCTTTGGCGTTGTGGCTGTGGTAGACTGGGACAATATGTATTTCACTAATTTTTAAGAGTTGACACATTGTTTGGTCAAGTTGTCAAAACCTTGCTATTTGTTCTGCAGACTGAGAGCTTCTATATTGTTTTCAGGGTCACTGTGGTTCTTGTTGGGCATTTAGTGCAACTGGTGCCATTGAAGGACAGATGTTCCGGAAAACTGGCAAGCTTGTCTCATTGAGTGAGCAGAACCTTGTGGACTGCTCTCAGGCTCAAGGCAATGAGGGCTGCAATGGTGGCCTAATGGATTATGCCTTCCAGTATGTGAAGTGCAACGGAGGCCTGGATTCGGAGGAGTCCTATCCGTATCAAGCAAAGGTAAGCAACGTTCTTATCTCTGTGCCATTCCTTTAGAGCAAACAGATGCCATATTTAGAATTCATATATATATTTTTTAATATATTTTATTTGATTTTGTACAGAGAGAAAGGGAGAGAGATAGAGAGTTAGAAACATCGATGAGAGAGAGTCATCGACCAGCTGCCTCTTGCACACCCCCTACTGGGGATATGCCCGCAACCAAGGTACATGCCCTTGACCGGAATCGAACCCGGGTCCTCCAGTCCCCAAGCCGATGCTCTATCCATTGAGCCAAACCGGTTTCAGCAGAATTCATATTTTTAATTTTTTTTTAGAATGCATATTTTAGACTGTAGAGTCTATAAACTGTCAGAACTTTCATCAAAGACAGTTCTGTTTGGGATGTTCACAGTTCTTATTTCTGGGTTATCTGGAGACACACATGCCATTCTATATGGAGCACATTGTTCTTCCGAGTGAAACATTTCTTATGGAGAGATAGACCGAATAGACACCAGCTCGTTTTTAATTTTCAAAACAGCCAGTAGCATTTCACAGCCTTAATCTGGAAATCGTGAAGCTGCCTACTGCCTGAAACTCATGCTTCCCGGGAGGTGGGCTAGTAATCAGACCTCTCCCCGTCCCCTTTAAAGGAAGGACCCTGCAAATACAGGCCCGAGGATTCTGCAGCCAATGTCACCGGCTTCGTGGACATCCCTCCGCAGGAGAGCGCCCTCATGAAGGCAGTGGCAACCGTGGGGCCCATCTCTGTTGCCATAGATGCAAGCCATCTTAGCTTCCAGTTCTATCAAGATGGTAAGCATTGTGTATGTAGAAGTTTAGGCAGAAAAATGGACACAAAGCAAGATTTCACTCTTGGGCTTGCATACTTTCTGGGGATGTGGATTTAGCATTGTTCACTGTGCACACATACTATCTTCCCCGGCGTTTCCGTTTGACATGATGTGAGCTATAGCCTCATGATGTGAAGCACCTCACAAATATATTTAAATGGCCACATCATTTGATTGGCATAACTTAATACTGTGTACTTGACCTCTTTCCAGTTGTTAGGCCTTTAAAATTTTCCAAAGAATTTGACTATTCTTTTTTTTTTTTTTTTTTTAATGTATTGATTTTTTACAGAGAGGAAGGGAGAGAGATAGAGAGCTAGAAATGTTGATGAGAGAGAAACATCGACCAGCCACCTCCTGCACACTTCCCACCAGGGATGTGCCCGCAATCAATGTACATGCCCTTGACCGGAATCGAACCTGGGACCCTTCAGTCTGCAGACCGACGCTCCACCACTGAGCCAAACCGGTTTCGGCAGAATTTGACTATTCTAATTAAAACTACAGAGATCCTTTGACTCCAGGAATTTTGTGCTCTGTGCTATTTCCTATGACTGACATCCTAAAAGTAGAATGACAGGGCTTCCAGAAGTGTCTGTATGCCTCCTGACTGACACATGGTTTACAAAAGAGATTGTGCCAGTTCAGATTTCTGCTAGTGTTAGAGGAGGGCCTACATCCCTAGCCTAGATTTAAAAAAAAAAAAAAAAAAAAAAAAAAAAAAGATCTTGCTTTCAAATCTTACTTGGTTTTATGTCATTGAGCTGGATTTTGAGAGGCCTTCCTCACTGTGGGTGATAGGCAGGGTTGCTGTCACCTCCAGTTGGAGGCCCTCACGGCCGTGTTGAATTTTGCTTCCCAGGCATTTATTTCGAGCGGCACTGCAGCAGCATGAATCTGGACCACGGCGTCCTGGTGGTCGGCTATGGCTTCGAAGGAGAAGACTCAAGTGGCAATAAATATTGGATCGTCAAGAACAGGTATAAGCCAGGACCGGTTTGGCTCAATGGATAGAGCGTCGGCTTGGGGACTGAAAGGTTCCGGGTTCGATTCCGGTCAAGGGCATGTACCTTGGTTGCGGGCATATCCCCAGTAGGGGGTGTGCAGGAGGCAGCTGATCGATGACTCTCTCATCGATGTTTCTAACTCTCTCCCTTTCTGTATAAAATCAATAAAATATATTAAAAAAAAAAAACAGGTATAAGCTGCTGAAAGTACTTCTGTTTGAAAAGGGAGACATTTTTGGAATCAGTATATGGATACAGGTCTTCAAACTCCTGAGCACAAGTCTGAAAATCGAGGTCTTTTTTTTTTTCTTTCTCATTTTTTTCTGTAGAGTCCTGTTTATTTTATTTCTTATTCTTTGTTAATCCTGACTGGAGGATTTTTTTTTTCTTGCATTGATTTTAAAAAAAAATATATATATATATATATATATATTTTTTACAGAGAGGAACAGAGAGGGATAGAGAGTTAGAAACATCGATCAGCTGCCTCCTGCACACCCCTCACTGGGGATGTGCCTGCAACCAAGGCACATGCCCTTGACCGGAATCAACCTGGAACCCTTCAGTCTGCAGGCCGATGCTCTATCCAAACCGGCTAGGGCTGCATTGATTATTTTTTTAGAGAGAGAGGAAGAGATGGGAAGAGACAGAGAAAGAACTACTGATATGTGAGACAGACATTGTTTGGTTGCCTCCCACACCCGCCTGCAACCGAGGTATGTGCCCTTGACCGGAATGGAACTCGTGGACTGATGCTTTTAACCACTGAGCAAAAATCGGCTAGGGCCGAAATTTAACATTATGATCACACATTCATAGGCCTGTGTGTTCCTTAAGAGGGACAAAGACTTCTGTCGAAATCCCAGAGGACTTTATTCCACTTAAGGAACACGGCATACCAGTGTGTGACTGTAACGTAAGACTCCGCCTCAGCTTGCTGGAGAATCTTATAGTTTTTGTACCATTACATTTCTAAATTTGAAAATTTTCTTAATTATGAAACACATCTGGCCCCAAGAGTTTGCTTTCTCTCTCTCTCTGTCTCTCTCTCTCTCTCTCTGAATTTGCAGTTCTGTGAAAGGTTTGGGGAGAGAAGTTAAGTGCAGGCTTAGAACTCGGCCAAGAACTGAAACCACATCTCCTAATTCTTTCTGAATCTTGTTTGGGCCTCTTGGGTGCACTGTTTAAGTATCAGGCATAGTTGTTAATAAAAGTCCAGGTGTTTGATTATTTGTATAAAATGGTAAACCCTCTCTTCTTTCAGCTGGGGCGAAGCTTGGGGCAATAAGGGCTACATCAAGATGGCCAAAGACTGGAACAACCACTGCGGAATCGCCACCGCGGCCAGTTACCCTACCGTGTGAGAGGATGGCGATACAGAAAGCGCTCATGGAGAACAGGATGTCCAGAGGAAGCATTGCTGTCTAAACACTGACCACGTTTTCCTTCCTGGGATACAATACTTGAATCTTGAAGAGCCAAACTGATTTGAATTCCGTGATGTTTTACGTCGGTGGAAATGTTGCCACTTCTTTTATAAGGATGTACAAATATTTACCTTTTAAAATAAAACTTAATTTTTATTATTTTTAATCCTCGCCCAAGGGTATGTTTATTGATTTGAGAGAGAGAGAGAGAGGGAGAGAGGAAAGGTTAGAGAGAGAAACATCGATCAGTTGCCTCTGGTACGTGTTCCGACTGGGGATTGAGCCCAAACCTTTTGGTGTACGGGACAAGACTCCAGCCAGTTGAGCCACCCAGCCAGGGCTACAGCTTAATTTTATATGTAGAGGTGTAGGGTTCTTTCCGTTTTTAGTACATTTATTTTCTAGACACAAAAATGTAATTGGGCCCAAACCGGTTTGGCTCAGTGGTAGAACGTTGGTCTGCAGACTGAAAGGTCCTGGGTTCGATTCCGGTCAAGGGCATGTAGCTTGGTTGCGGGCACATCCCCGGGCAGCTGGTCGATGTTTCTCATTGACGTTTCTAGCTCTCTCTCTCTTTCCCTTACTCTCTGTAAAATATCAATAAAATATATATTTAAAAAAAAATGTATTTGTGCCCTACAGACAACTGAATGTGCCAGAGGTCCATTAGGACAGCGGCCGGGTGGCCCTCTGGGTCTTCCCGTTGTAAGTGCTAACAATGCAGATCTTATGTCAGCTGCCTATTGGCTGGGTTTGACCCAACCCTTGAGTGGAGCACAATTTGACAAACTATAAGGACAAAGGTCAAGTATGTGTTTTTTGTTAATCCATCTGAGGATATTTTTTCTGCTTAATTTTTAGAGTGGAGGGGCGGGAGGGAAGGAGAGAGAAAAACATCAATATGAGAGAAACATGGATGCCAGTTGGGGGCCAAGATCAACTTGCAACCCAAGTGTGTGGGAGAAGGGGTGGGAGTAGGGAACTAACTTGGAATTGAACCCGTGACTCTCCAATCCTTGGGCAGATGCTCTAACCACTTAGTCATAGCAGCCAGGGCAAGGGCAATTATTTATTTTTTCATTTTTTTGTAAGTCCTTTTATTTCTTTTATACCTGCAGGGTTTTTTTTTTTTTTTTTTTTTTTAAAGAAATTAATGAATCTTTATTGTTCAGATTAATACAATAGTTTCTCCTTTTTCCCCCCATAGCTCCCCTCCACCCAGTTCCCACCCCACTCTCTGCCCTTACCTCCCCACCACTGTCCTCATCCATAGGTGTACAATTGTCCAGTCTCTTCCTTTTTTTTTTTTTTAAATTTAATAAAACTTTATTGTTCAGATTATTACAATTGTTCCCCCCCCTCTTTTCTAACTTAAAGCTCCCCTCCACCCAGTTCCCACCCACCCTCTGCCCTTACCAACCCCCTGCTGTCCTCATCCATAGGTGTATGATTTTTGTCGAGTTTCTACCCGTACCCCCACACAGACACCCCTTCCCCCCTGAGAATTATCAATCCATCCTTTTCTATGAAGGGCAATTATTTAAATAAGGAAAAAATTCACATTTTAGAAAAGTCGAGCTAACACACACACACACACACACACACACACACACACACACGTATGATTGCCAGGTTAAAAAGGGGCCTTAGAAATGGTTATTTGACCCAAGGTAATGATAACCCAACTGAGTTACAGGAGGAATGTCAGTTTTTGCTGCTTCTTCCCCAACTGCTAGTGAAGACCACCTGCTGCTGGCAGTCAAAGAAGGCCTGGACCTGGTGATGGCCAAGAATGCTTGTCAGCTGGGAGTTCAAGACGTGTCTGGCTTGTGGGTCAGTGCATGGTGCTTATGGCAGTATTGGCTTGTGGCAGTATTGCAGCTGTCCCCCATTTTACCCCTTTGCCCACTACCACCCAGTCCCCACCTCCCCCTCCCTGGCCTTCACCATTGTGTTGTCTGTGTCCATTGGTTAGTTCCCTACTCCCACCCCTTCCTTCTGGTTCTGTTTTGTGTCCGTTTAATTTGTCCATTGGATTCCACATATAAGTGAGATAACATGGTATTTATCTTTTTTTTTTTTTTTAGAGAAATGGAGTGATATTTATTATGCGCGGATGGTATTTATCTTTTAATGATACTAGAGTAAGAACATTTTCTTTTCTTTTTTTATTTTATTAAGGTACTAGTGGCCCATTGCAGGAAGATTCCTGCAATAGGGCTTCCTGCTGGTCGATGACCCCCTGCTTTCCTCCCTTCTCCCCTAGCCCTCTCTCCTTTCCTCCCTTCTTCCCTGTACCCACCTGCTTTCCTCCCTTCTCCCTGCCCCGCCTGCTTGCTTCTCTGCAGCTTGGCTCCTTTCTGTAGCACTTGGCTTCTACGCTGTCTTTAGTCTTTGCTCTGTGCCTGGATATGCAAATTAATCACCATCTTGGTTGGGTTAATTTGCATACTCATCCTGATTGGCTGGTGGGTGTGGCTTGTGGGCATAGCGAAGGTATGGTCAATTTGCACGTTTCTCTTTCATTAGGTAGGATTGTATGTGTACATATTTTACCATTGCTCCCCCAACCCACTCCCAAACATGCCCTCACCCCCCAGTGTTTTGCGTCCATTGGTTATGCTTATATGCATACATACAAGTCCTTCAGTTGATCTCTTATCTCCCCCCATCTCGCTGTAATTTGACAGTCTTTGATACTTTACTGTCTCTGTATCTATCTTTTTGTAAGAACATTTTCATGCACAGGGTTTTCCATTTTCCACTGTCATTTTGCTCAGTTTGAGGACGTATATAAGAAGGGTTAAAAAAAAAAAAAAAGGGTTGTTGTACTTTCTCTTAAGGCCATTAGTTTTCCAGATTTAATGATGAGATTCAGCCCCTGTGTATGAGCCTGGCCAGTGTTTCTAGCTCAAGGTCAGCTTCTCTGACAGCTCAAGATGTCACTTCTTAGAGCCAGGTCTCTCCTGCTGTGGTGAAGGTCACTGGACCATTGTTGCTGGGGTGGGGAGGAAAGGACACTGTGTGTACGTTTGGATGGATGAGAGGGGGAGAGAGAGAACACAGATGTCCTTTGGATCTATGATCTGGAATTTTTATAAATGTTATTGGGTATGAAAATTATGCCCAGGAGTCCTTAGGCTAAAGCAGTGGTGGGCAAACTCATTAGTCAGATATCCACAGGACGACGATTGACATTTCTTTTGAGAGCCAAATTTTTTAAACTTAAACTTCTTCTAACGCCACTTCTTTAAAATAGACTCGCCCAGCCTGTGGTATTTTGTGGAAGAGCCACCCTCAAGGGGCCAAAGAGCCATATGTGGCTCGCGAGCCGCAGTTTGCCGACCACTGGGCTAAACTGAACCAGCCACACCTCAAGTGGCGGATGGCTTCCCTCGAAGTGATTTTATCTGCTGCTCCACCCTAGCGCTCAGAAGTCACATCTCCACTCATCTTCCTTTGGGGTCCATTTTCCACACCTGGGAGAATCTGGAAGTAGATTCTTTTTTTTTTTTTTTTTTTAAATATATTTTATTGATTTTTTTACAGAGAGAGGGACAGAGAGCTAGAAACATCGATAAGAGAGAGTTATCGATCAGCTGCCTCTTGTACACCCCCCACCGGGGATGTGCCCGCAACCACGGTACATGCCCTTGCCCGGAATCGAACCTGGGACCTTTCAGTCCGCAGGCCGACGCTCTATCCACTGAGCCAAACCGGTCCCGGCTGGAAGTAGATTCTTGATAAAGTTAAACTGGGGCTGACCCGGTCACCAGTAAGTCTCCGTGTGTAACCACGTCCCTCAGCCGGTGCTTAGACTGGGGTCGCGGGGCTCAGTGACAGAAGGTTCTCGGGACCCAACGAGCCCCCCAGCGGCACTCAGCACAGCGACGCCGTGGCTCCCCCCGGGGAGGCTCCTCTCGTTCTCGGCTCCCGTGGTTCAGAGCTGCCTTCTTGAGCCTGATGCTCAAATGTCTGTGTCAGGGCCAGGCTTCTCCAAAAGGACTGAGGGGGTGGACACTGCCTTTTCTGAGAGCCCACGGGGCCGTGTCTGTTAGACTTTCCCAGGTGTTGTTTCTGACCAGAAAGGAAAGAACCTTCCGGATGTCCTTGGAGCGGATGTGGTTGTTGGCGCAGGGAGCACAGCTCTGCTGTCTGTGGTCCCTGGACTAAAAGTCCACTTGAGGAATTGTAAGACTGAAGAAAGTAAATGCAGGACAGATAGGAGATGTCCAAACCTGTAGATAATTTTTAAAAATATATTTTATTGTTTTTTTTGTGTGTGGTTTTTTTTTTTTTTTTTTTTTTTTACAGAGAGGAAGAGAGGGACAGAGTCAGAAACATCGATGAGAGAGAATCATCAACACCCCCACTGGGGATGTGCCCGCAACCAAGAATCAAACCGGTGTCGGCCATCAGTCCGCAGGCTGATGCTCTATCTGGGACCCCTCAGTCCGCAGGCCGATGCTCTATCTGCTGAGCCAAACCGGTTTCGGCTGTAGGTAATTTTTATAAAAATGTATTTGAGCCACCCCGGGCCTGGTTGCTCAGTTGGTTAGAGCAGTGGTCGGCAAACCACAGCTCTATGTCTCCTTGAGTGTGGCTCTTCCACAAAAATTCCACGGCCTGGGCGAGTCTATTGTGAAGAAGTGGCGTTAGAAGAAGTTTAAGTTTAAAAAACGTGGCTCTCAAAAGAAATGTCCATCGTTGTGCTGTTGATGTTTGGCTCTGTGGACGAATGAGTTTGCCGACCACTGGGTTAGAGCATCTTCCTAATATACCAAGGTTGTTGGTCTGATCCTGGCCAGGGCACATAGGAGAATCAACCAATGATGCATAAATAAGTGGAGCAAGCTGGTGTTTCACTCTTCCCCTTCCTTTCTCAAATTAAAAAAAGAAATGGTAGCTCTTTACGATGACCGTACTTGCTCAGCATTCCCCCCCCCCCCCCACTCCCGTTCGCCCAGGGTCCCTGGGGCCAGTCACATAACTCAGTCTCCTTCAGCCAGAGGGATAGCCCTGCGAACCGCACCGGACCGGTCAGAATCCTCTGGGATGTCAGGTGTACAAGAGGCTGCTCCTACCAACTGGCCAGGGCTCCTCTGGGATTTTCCGTACTGGTGCTGCCAGGGGCAAACCTCTTGCCTCTGGGTCCTAGCTGCCGGATCCTGTGCCCTGGGTGTAGAGTGCTCTTGAAGAAGAAAGGAATGAAGTTGGCGTTCGGAGGGAGGTGACGCAAGAAGGAGGTCTTATTCTCCTAAGGCAGCCACTGTCTATTTGTGCCATCTTTCCTAGGCACGCCTATGTGTAGCTTTTAGTTGGCTTTCATTAATTATTATTTTTATTATAAAAGTTTTAAATGTTAAAAAAAAAAAAAAGTAAAGAATGTATAATCATGGCCGACACCGGTTTGGCTCAGTGGTAGAGCGTCGGTCTGCGGATTGAAGGGTCCCGGGTTCGATTCCGGTCGGGGGCATGTGCCTTCGTTGCGGGCACATCCCCAGTGGGGGGTGTGCAGGAGGCAGCTGGTCGGTGTTTCTCTCTCATCGACGTTTCTGGATCTCTGTCTCTCTCCCTTCCTGTCTGTAAAATATCAATAAAATATATTTTAAGGGAAAGAAAGAAAAAAAGAAAAAGAAAAAAAAAAAGAATGTATAATCATGTATACTGTGACTAATTTGGGCAGTACAAAATGAACTGCATTCCTTCCCATCTACAGGGAAAAGTCATTGTTAACATTTTCATTATTTATTTATTTACAGAGAGCTGGGGAGACACACATCAAGTGGCCCGGACTGGGATCGAGCCTGCACACCCAGGTATGTGCCTTTGACTGGAATTGAGCCCAGGACCTTTTCATTGAAGGCTGGCGCTTTATCCATGGAACCAAACCAACCAGGCCCATTCCTACCATTTGAGTCTTCCTCCTTCCAATATATATGTATGTATGTATGTTATATATATATATATATATATATATATATATATATATATATATATATATATATATATATATTTTTTTTTTTTTTTTTCCCCCATTTAAAAAAAAGCAATCTTAAGATTTTACTAAATATAGGCTTTGGTCACTTAGAGCTTCTGTGTCTCACAGCTGCTATGCAGGTCAAAACCAGAGTTTCTAGTTGGTTGATATTTAAAGGGCAGGAAGTATCTTTGTTTTTTTGGAAGTATCTTTTTCAGCAGGTTTTCTCTTGCTCCTGTAGGGCATCATTCCCTTACATTAGTATAGAAACAGAAAGCTTCCTTTGTCTCCCCGTTGCTGAGACTAAATGATTCCACTTGTGTGTGTGTGTGTGTGTGTGTGTGTGTGTGTTTGGTTCACCCAAGGAAAAATGGAAGGAGTCTCTTTAAAGTGAGGACAAATGTGAAAATCAGCGGGGCTCTTTTTCTTTTTAAAAAAATATATTTTATTGATTTTTTTGCAGAGAGGAAGGGAGAAGGATAGAGAACTAGAAACACTGATGAGAGAGAAACATCGATCAGCTGCCTCCTGCACACCCCCCACCGGGGACGTGCCCGCAACCAATGTACATGCCTTTGACCGGAATCGAACCAAGGACCTTTCAGTCCACAGACCGACGCTCTTATCCACTGAGCTAAACCTGTTTCGGCTGGGCTCTTTTTCTTCCCCACATCATTCCTAATTGTAGTCATAATTAAGCTGGGTTGTTTTCCAGACCTGGGAGTTTATTTTTCATGACTTCTGGATTATAGATTCACCTGCCCCACCATATGCAGCATAGGTAAGTAAAAACAAAGCAAAAAGGATTCCTTTTGAATTAAAGACCAACAAACTAATGCAACAAGCAATAGTTTATTTTTTTTTAAAAAAGGGAAAAAAAAACAACAAAGAAAAACAAGTGACCTTTTTTACTATCTCATAGATTAAGTAAAAATACTTGTATTAATATATATGTATATACATACTGCATATATATATATATATATATATATATATATATACACACACAAACACACATATGATATAACATTAAAATTACATGCTTCTCAGTATAGAAGAATTAGGACATGTTCCCCATTTGAATTTAAAACTCTATCACAATTTAAAATCACTGCAATAAAACTTGCTTCCTTTTTCTTCTTTTGTAGATTTCAAGTACAGGAAGTTGTCAAACCAGGACCTCAGTGTGGAAAACCGTCTGCTATGCACAAATGACAACGCACAGCCACAAACCGTGAGTCTGGGGTTTTTGAATTCTCACACGGATCTTCGTAGCCCTACAACTGTCACCCTTCTACCTGAGACGAGAGGGAATGACGAAGCGCCACAGTCTGTCGACTCCACGTGGACATTCACATTGACGTTTCAACGAAAGCTAACGAGTACATGTCACCGTAGCAACAACACTGGCCGTGAAATCCCTCTAGAGGAGGGTTCTTCCCCCCCCCCCCCCTTCGTCCCCCGCCAAACAAAACACAAAAAGGTTGCCGGGAAAAGAACCCAACACAAATTTTCCCAACACAAATCGGAGGGTGAAGCACCTCTGGCGATGGTCAGCACACAGCAAGGAGCAGAGAGAGGGAGCGTTTCCTTCGGGGCAGCTCCCGGCTGATGTGATGATTTTCAAACACACCCTCGTCTGCAAAAGGCACTCACATATTGTCTATTTATAAATCATACAGTGGGAGTCCATACATGAGGGGTTTTCCTATAAATATAAAAAAGATAAGCTGAGGGCATGATATATATATATATATATATAACAAAGGAAAAAAAAAAAAAGAGTATGAAATGCACATTTAGGATAAATGTGCGCTTTTTCATTTGAAAGGGCAACCGATAGAATCGTTAGAAATTTTTCATCGAAAAGTTAGGAATTCCAGGAAAACCGTCAGTCAAGAAGCAAGGGACTAGAGGCTGGGAGAAGGAGTCCGGGTTCACGGAGAGGAGGGACACTAGCTCCTCAAATGGCCACAAACGGACGGGCGTGATTAGCTCTTAAACGAGAAAAGACCTTTCGCTCACAAAGGACTGTGTGCGAGGGAGGGAGGGAAGGAGGGAGGGGTTAGCAGAGACATAGGTGCAGCAGGAGGGAGGGGGACATAGGAAAGTGGGGTGGGGGTGGGGGGTGCATCTGGAATCTCTGATGGGACAGATGGCTGCACCCCCCCCTTGCTTTTGCAGCTTGAAGACACCCTCGCCCGAGCCAAAGCCGCCCTCACCTGGACACGACCGAGCTAATGGAATTGTACGAGGTGCCGCTGTTGCAGCTCGAGGCGTAGGCCTCCTGGCCGTTGCCGTCCAGGTGGATTTTGAGCACCGAGGACGCCTTCAGGAGGAAGTCGGCCGCGTCCCGGCGCCCCAGCTCCCGGAGCCTGGCCATGAGGACCCCGACGGTGCTCTCGGGGAAGGCGGTCCACTCCCGGAGCAGGGCGTGCACCGGGCTCGGGAGGAACTCCTTGGGGGCCCCGTGGTGGTTGTTTGTGGTGGTGTTGTACTTGGCCACCAGGTCGGGGAGGCCCAGGTTCATGGCGAGGAGGCACCAGTCCTTCCCCATGGGGTCGGGCGGGTCCAGCAGGCGGCTGAGCTTCCTCCTCGTCAGGAGGTTCAGGTCGGATGCGTGGATGTCCATCCCCAGGCTGGCCTGCGCGTAGATGTCGTGGCAGCCGAAGCACATGATGCTGCTGAAGCTCTCCTTGTAGCCGCCCATGGTGTTGGTGAGCGAGGTCTCCTTGAGGGCCTGCGCCCGGAAGAAGTCCCGGGGCTGGTAGATCATGACGGGCTCGTGGTGCTCCCTGAGCTGCTGGGGGCTCAGGTAGTGCTTCACGGTCAGCAGCCCCGGCAGCGTGGTGGCCACGACGTTCTCGATGGTGCTGCACACCGAGTCCAGCAGGAGGCAGCACTTGACCTTCTCCGTCTCCAGCCCGCGCACCTGCACCTCGATGCCCTGGCCGTGGTTGACCAGGAGCACCAGCAGCTCGGCCCCGCGGTTGGCCACCTTGCAGCCGCTCACCCACAGGCGGATGTCGGCGTCCCCCTCGGCGCTCTGCTGGTGGATCCAGCGGCACAGGTTCACCTGGACCTTGTGGAAGATGCCGCAGGGGAAGGGGGCCAGGTGCTCCACGGGGACGATGCGGACGCCGCCGTACACCGTCGCCTCGTCCTCCTCGTCCGTCCAGGAGCGGTGCAGGTTGTCCGTCTTGATCAGGGCGGGGATGTCCACCATGGCCCCGCTGCTCAGGTCGCGGGCGCAGATGTCCATGGCGTCCAGGATCTGCAGCAGCTCGTCCACGTCGCTGTCGGGCACCAGGCGCTGGATGTCCTCGGTCGTGTAGCGGCCCCGGTAGTGGTGCAGGGCCCGCGGGGTCTCCACCGAGAGCAGCTTCCCCAGCACGTTGGTGCAGAGCCAGCGGGGGTCCAGGAGCATCACGTCCTGCACCGTTTCGCTCTGCATGATGTTGATCTGCCCGGGGAGACAACGGGAAGTCACACACAGGAGCCTACAGGAACAGGCAACTCACGGGCCCCGGGCAGGGACACATCTGAGCGCGTGTTGCAAAGGAGGATTCCTCCATCATTGCACGGCTGGCTCTCAGCTATCCATTACTAAGCTAAACCCCAGTTGGAGAATGTTTTAAGAGGAATTTTGAAAAAACCATGAACTCTTTTTTTTAAAAAAATATATATATTTTATTGATTTTGTACAGAGAGGAAGGGAGAGAGATAGAGAGCTAGAAACATCGATGAGAGAGAGTCATCGATCAGCCGCCTCTTGCACACCCCCTACTGGGAATATGCCCGCAACCAAGGTACATGCCCTTGATTGGAATCGAACCCAGGACCTTTCAGTCCCCAAGCCGACGCTCTATCCATTGAGCCAAACCGGTCTCGGCAAAAAACAACAACACATGAACTCAAAAAAAAAAAAAAAAAAAAAAAAAAAGTGAGAGATGGCAGCTATGAAATGATTTTTGACTAGATTCTGTTCCAAAATAAGTAAAACCAGCTATAAAGGAAATTATTGGCACAAGTGGCAAACAGTTGAATCCGGACTACACAGTCAGTAGTATGTCAATGTTATGTGTCCAGAAGGGGATTAGTATTAATGATATTGTGGCTATGTGGGAAAATGTCCTCTTTAGGAGATCCAGGCCAAAATCTTTTATTTTTTTTTTATTTTAGGGAGAGGAACTAAGTAAAACCGGAAAGGAAAGAGAAGAGACAACCCACCACAGAAATACAAAGGATTGTAGGAGGACATATGAGCAGTGAGACACCGACAAATTTGACAACCTCGAATAAATGGCTGCGTTCCTAGAAACAAGCCTCCAAAACTGAATGTCGAATCGGTCTGTTCAGATTTTCTGCTGTTTCCTGATTCAGTCAGTAGTCAGGAAACTCCCGACTAATAAAGTTCCAAGACTGGAAGGCTTCCCAGGTGAATTCTAAGCATTCAAAGAGTTCACACCCATCCTTCAGCTCTGAAGAGGGAAGGCTCTCCAACTCAGCTATCACCCTGACACCTCCTGGGCCCTGCCCGACCGGCGCCCTCACCTCGCCGGTGCTGTGGAGCTGCTGGGCGATGCCCCTGAGGTCCTCCTCGCTGGCCAGGGGGTTCAGCTGGTCCTGCACGTCGTACACGAACTGCTGCAGTGACATCAGCTGGTTGGGCCCGTTGAGCTTCCTCCAGGACGGCAGCGTGGAGATGATTTTCTCACACAGGTGGGTCATCGGAGGGCAGACCTAGAACGTGCAGGACGTGACAGGTCCGTTTACAGCTGTGGGGACTCAGCAGGAGACCGGGTTTTCATGGGGACGGTTGAATCTCTTCCATTTAGACTAATTCTTGGTATTGGCTTGAAATGGGTTTTTGAGTCTGCTACAGACTCATCTACCCAACCACACCTTCCTAATTGTAAGCCACAGCAGCCATTCCCTGCACCCCGTCACTCATGAGGCTGTCCCCCGGTGGACAATAGCTTTTAGGTCAGCTGAATTCCACCCCTTATTAAACAACCCCACACAGAATGCCCATGATACAGGCTAGTTCGAACGGCCTGACCTCAGGAGTGGAGGGTGTGTGTGAAGCGAACATCATGCCACACCCCGAGAACACAGTCTCACTCCATTTGTTCATCCATTATTTTATGCCCTTCAACAAGTGTTCTTGGCAAATTTTTTCTACTTTCTTCATTTTCTAAATATTTCACAAGCTGCTTTTTTGTATCATCATATATAAAACCCTAATATGCAAATAGGCTGAACAGTGGAACAACTGAACCACGGTTGCTATGACTGGGGGCACGTGTGGATCATGGTGGGCGTCGGCTGCAGCAGGATGGTGGAGCAGGTGAGTGGGGGTGTCAGACCAAGGTGGGGCACCAGTCTCCGGTGGTTACTGAGAATTCTTTGCTCCTGTGTGCCCACAGTCCCGCCCGCTACTCACACCCACTAGATCGCTTGATGCCGTCAGCGGGTGCGAGTGGTGGCTGCTGGCCCTGATTGCTCCTGAGGGTTCTCCACCTGCCCCTGCTTCTGTTGGGCGATTGGGGCAGCAACCACCGCTTGCACCTGCTGATGGCACCAGCCCCAATTGCTCCATGCCATCAGCATGTGTGAATGGGGCCGGTGTGTTGGAGCAGCGGTGGTGGGAGCAGTGGTAGTGGTGTGGGGTTGCCGGCAGAGAAGGGACTGGGGGCTGCAGCTGGAGGGGTCGGGCGGGGGTATGGAGGGTGGGCTGAGAGGCTCTCCTGTGCCCACTTTACCCTTGCAGCTAGAGTTCCTTTCAAGGTGCACAAATTTGCACAATGGGCCCCTAGCATATCTCTCTCTCTCTCTCTCTCTATATATATATATGTATACACACACACACACACACACACACACACACACACACACACACATATATATATATATTATATATATTATATAATATATATATATATTTTTTTTTAACATATTTTTATTGATTTCAGAATCAAACCCAGGACCCTTCAGTCTGCAGGCTGACTCTGCATTCACTGTGCCAAACCAACTAGGGCTGTATCATTATATATTTTACAAATCTATTAAGTTTATAGATGTGACATTGGTTAATACATTTTGTTTCAATAGTACAATGTAAAATATATCATCTGTCTATTGCATTGTGATCACTACCCAAAATCTAGTCTCCTCCCACCACCGTTACCATAATTTTGACCCTCTTCATCCTCCTCCGACCCCTCTCCCCTCTGCTAACCACCTTTCTGTTGTGTCTATGAGTCTGTTTGTTTTGTTAGATCATTTATTGCTTTCTGCTTTATAGTCCATATAGAGTGAAATCATATGGTTCTTCACCTAAGTCACTTTTGAATTGCTTTTGCAATGTGTAACAGCAATTTTACTTTTAAACAAACCACTAAAACCATCAACATGTCCTACACTCTAAGGTGGTCCACTTTGTCCATCACAACCCCTTCACCTCGCAGCCTTCTCCTCCTCTCTGCTCTCTCCCCCTCAACCCAGAGCAATAAGATAAAAACTTATCCACGCAGCCACCTCGCACTGGGGACCCCGAATACCAAACCAAACCCAGAGGGCAGCACACCTCCAGGGGTCCCTGGGGGGCTGGGCAGGGGTGGGGGTCCTGCCCTTCGCAGGGGGCGTACTCACGGAAACAATCTGGCTCCGTATTTCTTGCAGATGATTTCGAAGAACCTTCATGTCCTTCGACCCCGAAGCCCCAGCGTCCAGAACAAACAGCTTATTTGAAATGTGAAGGTCATTCCCAAACCTAGGAGGGAAGAGCAGGAGCCTCATCAGAGCCACGCAGTCTCGCCAGGCGTCCCCACGGCCGGGCCCGAGGCTGGTCGGAGGCCAGGAAGTTCTGGCGACCTTCAGAGACCCCTCCCTGCTGTCCGCTGGCTCTGTGAGGCCACGGGGGAGCACAGGCCTGGAGACAGGCCCCCGAGGCCACACCGGACGGCAGGGACGCGGTGCGGACGGCGTAGCTGCCCGGCTGCGGGGACCGTACAGGCCATGAGAGATGCTGGTGCAGTGGATACAGTAAGAACAGAGGATGAGCGTGAAAGTACAGCCCTGATCAGAAAACGTTAGCAGAAGCCCTGCTTTCACATCAGGAAGGTACAAGGTAATGTCTTCTTCAGCTGAGAGAAGCTGAGTTACTCGCACACTGCACAGAGCTAGCTGCAGGTCATTTTCTGTTGACAGGTACTAAGTAGGAAAAAAGGGAGGTTTACAGTGGTGAATGTGCAAGACACAGAGTTTATTCCTGTATTGTTATTGACTGATTGTCGTATTACTTCCCATACGAACAACGGTGGGCCGACTGTCGCCCTGCTCTGTATTTTTAGCACGTGACCCTGTGCACCTCCATATTGATGAGGGACACTAGAGCTTTGCAAAACTACTGGACTGGAGGTGCACGTGGCTAGTCTCTGCGGGACTCCCTGAAGTTGACCAACTCCTGATCAACTTCAGGGAGTTGGTCCGGACCCTGTGAGTGAATTTCATAACCCAGTATTTTGATAAATATTGATCAGTGGCATCATTAGTCATAAAACAAGCAAACAAACAAACACCTGGAAGCTCAGACAACTAAGAACTAAGGATCTAATGTATAGCATGGTGATCATGGTTGACAACACTGCATTTACAGTTAGAATCTGCTAACAGAGTAGAACTTAAATATTCTCCTCAAAAAGAGAGAGTTGGTTTGGCTCAGTGGATAGAGCGTCGGCTGGCGGATGGAAAGGTCCTGGGTTCAATTCCAATCAAGGGAACATGCCCGGGTTGCAGGTTCAATCTCCAATAGGGGGCATGCAGGAGGCAGCTGATCAATAATTATCTCTCATCATTGATGTATCTATCTCTCCTTCTCCCTTCCTCTCTGAAACCAATAAAAACATATATTCAAAAAAGATGTGAACAATGATGTTTTAATTCACTCGGTAGTGGGAATTCTTTCACAGTGTAAATACGGTAGTGGGAATCCTTTCACAGTGTAAATACGTATCACATGACCACAACGGATACTTTAAATAGCTGACAGTCTAAATAGCTGACAGTCGTATCTGTCGATGACGCCTCAATAAACTGGGGGGAAAACACCCCACATAAAACTCAAAGGCAGCGGTACCAGGAGGTGAGGAGAGAAGTGAGGAGGCTGCTGCTTTTTATCCTGTGTTACTTTCTTGTTGATTTATAATTATCTGTATTCATTGCTTTGATAAAAAATGAAAAATACAACAAAAAGGCCACCCATGCTGAAACCGGTTTGGCTCAGTGGATAGAACATCAGCCTCCGGACTAAAAAGTCAAGGGCATGTACCTTGGTTGCGGGCACATCCCCAGGAGAGGGTGTGCAGGAGGCAGCTATTGATGTTTCTCATCAATGTTTCTAACTATCCCTCTCCTTCATCTCTGTAAAAACTCAATTTTATATATATATATATATATATATATATATATATATATTTTTTTTTTTTTTTAAAGGCCACCCAGGAAAAGAGGCATCTCTCTCTCAAACTCCTCTCTCTCGTTCACAGGCCTCCGGCTGTATTGGCCCCGAGGATCCGGGGGCTGCCCCTGCCTTACCTGTTCCTGATCTCCTTCAGCAAAGCCGTGTCCTTGTCGTACCCAAACTCGCCGCCCGCCGGGCGCGGGACGTTCATGATGTCGGCGTGCGTGGCCACCAGGACGACGCGGAGGGGGTTCTTCAGCTTGCCGCCGAAGGCTGGGGGCGGAGAGCACAGGTTCAGAGGCGGGCACCCTTCCTGCCGCCTCTTCCCCCACGTGCGGTGGGGTGAGCCGGCCCCAGGCCCCTCAGTCTCTGCAGGAGGATGTGCCACCTGCCCGAGGCTCCGTGCCTGCTGTGCACAGTCACCTCCGGGCCGGGGCTGCCAGTAACAGAACGAGCCTGCTTTCTGGGCCTCACGGAAAGGGGCTCAGAAATGGACCAGAACCGGCCACAGAACACAAGGCAGCTTCTCACATCTGTCTCCAAGTGGGAGACCTAACTGGTTTGGCTCAATGGATAGAGAGTCAGCCTGCGGACTGAAGGGTCCCAGGTTCGATTCTGGTCAAGGGCATGTGCCCTGGTTGTGGGCACATCCCCAGTAGGAGGTGTGCAGGAGGCAGCTAGTCAATGTTTCTCTCTCATCAATGTTTCTAGCTCTATATCTCTCTCCCTTCTTCTCTGTAAAAAATCAATAAAATATATTAAAAAAAAAAAAGAGATAAAGTGATGGTGCTCCATTATGGGGGTGTGTGTGAAGCTCAATGTATCTGATTATGTGAATGCTTTTCAAAGCAAAGATGACCACTGAGCTTTGTATTTCACCAGAGAAAGCTGCTGTTTGTGCTGCAGGGAAAGGACGATGCTATCGCCCCCTCTAGAATAAAGACGGGATAATGCCTCCAGTCAGCATGGTCCCTTTCCTTGCACGGGGAGGGAGCCCCAGAACGCAGGAGAGCTCGTTCTGCTTATGAACTATGTGCCCAGGAGCAAAGGTGTGGTAGCTACTGAAGGAGGCATCCCACTTTGCACCCAACAAAAGTGCTCCCCGCCCCAAAACAGAAAAAGAGAGTGAGAAACAGTTCTCCAGGAATAAGCTCAGAGTCAGGCCTCGGTGGCAGAAGCGTGTGATCATGAGACACCTCCCAGAGGTAGGAGGTGAACGGCTGGCCCTCGGGGAGCCGCCGGAGGGCCGACCTTCCTGCAGGAAGGAGAGGCGGGGAGCACCGTTGGGAGCACCAGCGGTCAGAGCCGAGTCTGGCCGGCAGCAAGGCCAGCGAAGGGTGCTGCCCGCCCAGGGGTGTCCGAGCTTACCTATGGGCTCCTCCACCGGCACAAGAGACTTGAGGAAATTGAGCCAGAAAACGACTTGGTTCAGCTGGATCTCGAAGGGTTCTTCCAGACTGAACACGATGACATGGATGGATGTGGGGTCGTTGGCAGCAAAATAATCGTAGGAGCAGAAGTAGACGGGGTTTCCGGAGAACTCCCACACGCTGAAATCGCCAACCCCTGCGGAGGAAAGCAGAGAGGATGGCGCGGTTTCCCCAGCGGTTTACGGCGACCAGCAGGGGCAGGCCGTCCTCAGCACTCATCCCTGGATCTAGACTTCCACCTGACACGCTGCGGGAGGATCACGAGAATCACCGTGTTTTCTGTTCTGAGGCTTGTGGCCAATCACGAGAATTCTTTAAAAAGATATTAGCTTGCCAAAACCGGTTTGGCTCAGTGGATAGAGCGTCAGCCTGCGGACTGAAGGGTCCCAGGTTCGATTCCAGTCAAGGGCATGTGCCCGCTGAGGGTGCCCTCCCCCTTTATGCCCGCAAGGTACATGCCCAGTAGGGGGTGTGCAGGAGGCGGCTGATCAATGTTTTGCTCTCATCGATGTTTCTAACTATCCCTCTCCCTTCCTCTCTGTAAAAAATCAATAACATGTTTTTAAAAAAGATATTAGCTTGTAGGAACGTGCAATCACTTCAAAGTGCAATGGGTAGTTATTGAAGCGTGCCTTTTACATTTATGTAAAACGTTTTTTGTCCTCGTTCACTAGAACCTTACTTGACCACTGGGTCAAGCTAGCAATGAAACGACTGGTCCTCAGTGTGTTAGGCACAGATCTATGTATGGAACACAGACTTAGCTTTGTGACGTATGCATTTTGGGAGATCCCGAGGATTTTCTAAGCCTCCTCCTGGGGCACAGGCACGCAAGGTCTGGCAGCGAAGGCCGTCGTGTGCAAAGTTCCCGGAACCCAGAGCGAGGCCCTGAACACGGGGAGGCATGTTCTTGGGGTGGGGAGGCCTGGGCAGAGCAGGGGTGAGGCAGGGCTGGGGAGTGCTGAGGGCGCCCTCCTCCTTTATCTATGCTGCAGAGCCAGCTTTGCTAGAACATTCAACTTTTAAGAGAACAAAATGTGAGCCCTGACCAGAGTGGCTCAGTGGATAGAGCGTCGGTCTGTGGATTGAAGGGTCCCAGGTTCAAATCCGGTCAAGGGCATGCACCTTGGTTGCAGACACATCCCCAGTAGGGGGCGTGCAGGAGGCAGCTGATTGATGTTTCTCTTTCTTCAATGTTTTTAGCTCTCTATCCCTCTCCCTTCCTCTCTGTAAAAAAAGAAAAGAAAAAAAAAATCAATAAAATATATATTAAAAAAAAAATTAGCCTGCTAGCCCCATCTGGCATGGCTCAGCAGTTGAGTATCAACCAATAAACCAGGAAGTCATAGTTTGATTCCTAGTCAAAGGGTAGAACCTGGGTAGAACCCTCGATCCCCAGTAGGGGGCGTGCAGGAGGCAGCCAATCCAGGATTCTCTCTCATCATGGATGTTTCTCTCTCCCTCTCCCTTACTCTAGGAAAAAAAAAAAAAAAAAAAAAAAAAGAGAAAAAGAGAAATCAAAATGTGCTCTAACAAGTGAGTCTCAGTTGATAGAGCACCAGCCTGTGGACTGAAGGGTGCCAGGTTCGATTCCGGTCAAGGGCATGTACCTTGGTTGCAGGCACATCCCCAGTAGGGGGCGTGCTTTTAGGCAGCTGATTGATGATTCTCTCTCATTGATGCTTCTAACTCTCTATCCCTCTCTCTAAAAAATGAATAAAATATATTAAAAAAAAAAAAAAAAAAAGCATTAGCCCTGGCTGGGTAGCTCAGTTAGAGTGTTGTCTTAGGTTACAGGTTCAATGGCAAGGTTGAAGGTTCAATCCCCAGCCAGGGCACGTACAATTATCAATCAATGAGTGCATAAACAGAACAACAAACCAATGTTTCCTTTCTCTCTCTCTCTCTCTCTCTCTCTCGTCAATCAATGAACTAAAAAATGTATTTACTTGACAGTCATTTATTAAGCACCTACTGTGTGCCCTGTGCTTGATTAGGAGTAGAGGATACCACGTGTTGGATTTCCTTTTCGGGGCCTGTGAGGGTGTCCCCGGGGCCAGGCTCCCCGGGGGTCACTCACACCCTGGCAGAGGGGCGCCGAGGCCCTTCCCTGCCGGTGGGTGGGCCGGACGTACCGTTCAAATAGGCGTTCTGGATGTCGATGGCCTTGGTGGACTGGTCGTCGGCGGAGCAGTGCGGGTGGTGGGACGGGGCCACGAACACCTCCAGCATCCCCTTGGTGAGGCCCGGCTCGAACATCATGCTGCGGCTCCGCACGCTCACGTTCTCACAGCCCGGGTACAGGTTGTTGATGCTCACGGACACTGAGGAGAGGAGGCGGTGAGACGCGCCCAGGGCACCGAGCACGCCTGCCCGCCCGCCCTCCCGGCCTTCGCTCCCGTTGTCCGTTCCTGGGACATCCCTGTCCCCACCCCACTCCCGCTCCAGGCCCCGGGGTGGGGGTGGCCCTCGGTGTGCTGTGCGGCAGCACTTCCCACAGATGTTGGGCTGGTTCTTTCCGTGTCTCTCCCCCCGCCCCCCCCCATGCCCCCAGCCCGTCCCCAGGGACTGCCTCTCCCAGGCTTGCTTGCCACTTGCTGCTGTGTTGGGTCAGCCTAAGGCAAACCAGTTTCCTGCTGTCTGCCAGTTATGAACAAGGCGATGGGAGCCTCTCCCCCAGGAAAGGGAAAAAGGCCTGGCCATTCTAGTGATCAAAGGCCTGGGGGATGGCAGGGCAGGGCCCCTCTGCTACTCCAAAGTGACAGTGTTGCTGTTTCTGGAAACACACCTCCTTCCTTGGAGGCCAAAGCCCCCCAGCACAGCCTGCCCCTCCCCTCGGCCCCCTAGTGCTCCCAGCTGGCCCTCACAGCAGCTCCTACTGGTGCCACACCCTGCTTTTCCCAGGACATCGGGAATGCTGCTTTGTGAGGGCCAGGAAGTGACTAGGGCTCGGGGGCCCAGGCCCTGGTGCTGCTGCCACGGGGCCTGCAGGCAGGTCCGGAGTTAACTGAAGGGGAGTCTGTCTCTTCCAGAGACTGTTTGGGTGGAAACTTTCCCCACCCCTCAGAGCGGGCCACCCTCCTGGGCATCCAGCACCACAGGCCTCATGGCTACCCTTCTCTTCCACCCTCACCTCGGCCCTTCAGGATCATAGATCCAAACACATCTCTTTGTTTTTGGTCTGTCTCTCTGATTCATTCTCTCTCTCTCTCTCTCTCTCTCTCTCTCTCTCTCTCTCTCTCTCTCTCTCACGCCCTCCCTGTCCCTCACGGTGGTGCAGCCTGGAGTGACCTTGACCCACAGCAGGAGAGAGCTGGCCTGGCTCCCTCTGGGTGACACTATAACTGCCAGAGAAGCTGACCTTGGACTTGGAATGCTGGCAAAATTACAGCGGAAAATGGAAAGTGTGCACACAACAGCCCTTGCTCGGAAGTTGTGTCATTACTACGCTGTGGCTCAGGAGCCAGACATTCTGTAAGCTGCCAGCTGTGTGACTCGGACAGCCTACGTCACCCCTCACGGCTTCTGTATGACGGTGGTAAACACACCCCCTCCCCCTGTCCATGGATGAAAGATTTCACACGGCCAAGTTTTGCCCAGCTCCTGACACACAGTTAGTGCTCGGTAAGTATTACCGTGTTTCCCCGAAAATAAGATATCCTCTGAAAATAAGACCTACTTACAGGTTTCCTTCTGAGTGAAATATAAGACCCCCCCCCCCCCCCCCAAGCTAAACATGAGAGATTTGGTCCACTGATTCTGAAAGAAATGGAGTCACAAGAAATTCACCAGGAAATTCAGGAATTGGATTGTTATGATGATGTTCCAGAAGATGATGACATGACTGTCATTGAATAAATGAGTAAATTCTAGATACTGTAGGATTCACAGTTTGTCTGGTTTGTGTTGACAACTACCGTACTACCCGTACCGTATACAGGTAATAAATTTCCTTTATTTTCATTTAACAATAAATGTGTACCGTGTTCTTCTTCATGGAAAAATAAGACATCCCCTGAAAATAAGACCTACCGCATCTTGGGAGCAAAAATTAATATAAGACACTGTCTTATTTTTGGGGAAACAGGGTAGCAATACCGGCTAGCAACTTTGTAATCATTCTAGTTAAAAAATCCACTTTGGGTTATTTTTTTCTCCAGGTTTCTGCTGTGTTCAGAGACAACAGGTTGAAAGAGCATGTAAATCTCAGTCACCTCCTCCCCCCACCCCCAGGAACGCCACCCAGATCTCCCTCCTCGTGGAGAGAAGAATTATGTAGAAACCCAAACGATAAAGCTTTTGCGTTCCCCGCGGGCACCGACACGGCCCCTTGGTGACAGGATGTGCAGGAGACACACCCGAGGCACGAGGCTTCAAAACGGGCGTTGTTTAGGAAACTCTCGGAAGGTCTCTATTCCCATCTCAGCAGGACTGAGGCCCTTGCTCTACAGCGGGGCTCTGGAGAGAGAACACCCAGCTGGCACACCTGCCCCTTGCTCCCGGCGGGTGTCTCTCCCGGCGGAAGGACAGGCGGCCCCGAGGGTCTGGGTGTGAACCCACAGCTGACTGCGTCTGAGGAAGGCCGGGGAAGACAGCAAAGCCTGCTGCCCTCGCCCAGGGGTCCTCAACCTTCCTACTGCCACGGCCCTTTAATACAGTTCCTCATGCTGTGGTGACCCCCGACCATAACATTATCTTCATAACTATAACTTTGCTACCGTTAATGAATCGTAATGTAAATATCTGTGTTTTCCGATGGTCTTAGGCTCCACAGCAGCGGTTGAGACCCACAGGTTGAGAACCGCCTGCGGACTGAATTGCCCCAGGTTTGATTCCGGTCAAGGGCATGTACCTTGGTTACGGGCACATCCCCAGTAGGGGGTGTGCAAGAGGCAGCTGATTGATGTTTCTCTCTCATCGATGTTTCTAGCTCTCTATCCCTCTCTCTTCCTCTCTGTAAAAAAATCAATAATATATACATATATATATATATATATATATATATATTTTTTTTTTTTTTTTTTTGCTGGGGGGTCACCACTGCAGGAGGAGCTGTATTAGAGGGTCTCGGCATTAGGAAGGCTGAGACCCACCGACCTAGAGGGTCTTGGGGAGCAGAGGGACAGCTGTGGAACCCACACAGCCTTTCAAAACCGCCGATCAACTCCGAACCTATGGGATGCTGACCCCACGTGGACCCAATCTCGTTGCTCTGCCTTCCCAGAGAAAGCGTGCGGGCGGAGCCATCCCGGGGCCAACATCCCTCTGTGCCAGCTGCGCGTCCCAGTCCCGCGCCCCTCCCGCTGTCCTCAGGAGCAGGGTCCCTGGGCAGAAGGCGCACCATTCTGCCTGGTGCACAGGGCTCATTGTGAACTCGCGTGTCTGCGCCCCCAACCTCAGCGAGGCCCTTTCCTTGCTATTCCGGGGGCAGCTTGCAGCGGCTGGGCAAGAGCCGGGCGGATACCAGGCCCGGGGTCGGGCTGCCCTCACCTCATGGCCACGGAGGCGCTGGGACCCAGGGGGCAGGGGACCCAGCGCCCCTCACTGAGCCACCACTCAGCCTGGACCCTGACCCGGAGAGAGAAGCCCCCGGAGCCCGCTGCAGAGCCGGGCCGGGGCCGGGCGCCTACCTGCCGGCTTGGAGGCCAGGGGCGAGGGCGGGAACCGGGTGGAGTTGGTGGAGGAGAGCCGGGGCCGGCGCCGCCGGAAGAAGCTCCGGAGCAGCCCGCACTTGAGCGACTCCACCAGCGTGGTCTTCCCCGCGCCCGAGTGGCCGAACAGCTTCAGCTTGATCCGGGGCTGCGGGTTCTGCGTGGGCCGCAGCTGCTGGGTGAAGAGGCCCCGGTGTGTGTCCTGCGCGGCGACAGAGGGCCCGTTAGTCACCACCAAAGAGAGGCGGCTGAGCCTGCCGGGTCCTCCGGGTGGGTCGGCGAATTTCACCCAGGTCGCCCTGTCCTCGTACATGTTTGCAGAACGCGTGTGACACGCACGTAACACGCAACGCACCACCTTCCCCGTCGTAAAGCGCACCGTTCGGAGGCTTCAGGGCGTTCACCAAGTCATGCAACCGGCTGATCTCACCAGTCCTCGTCCTCCCAGTTCCCTGGGATCTCTCACTTCTCTCGTCCTCCCAGTTTGCCTAAGAGCCGAGCCTCGTCCCCAAATGCCCAGCCGAGTCCAGAACGGCTGAGCCCAGGCCAGCAAGGTGGAGCCTAGCGTAGCCCCCAGGAGCGGGGTTGAGGCCTGAAGAGGTAGAGTTGGTCCCGAGTCAGACCCGGAGCCCAGCGTAGCCCGGAGAGCTGAGCCCGGACCGGAAGGGCGGAGCCAAGACCCTCAGAGCACCTGGCTCAGGTGGGCTGGTCCACAAAGAGGTGGTAGTATAAACGACTCAGGTGAACCCCGTAAGAGCGAGCCCGAGGTGAGCACCTTCCTTCTGACTCAGTGGGATCGCAGACCTGGCCAGACCACTGCTTCCAGTTCTAAATCCTGGGAGGCGCTGACGTACTGCCCAGCCAGGGACCTTTCCCCCCTGACAACCATGCAAGCTCCTCTAGCACACTCAGGACTCTCCCGAAGGAGACCAAGTTCCCACCTGTTTTCTATTGGTGAAGGGTGATGCTTCTTTCTCAACAGGGCAACACCGCCCCCTGGTGGGCAGTGAAGCCACCTACAGAGACATTTTTAATTCTTACGTTGGGGGCCGCTTCTGGCCCACACGTGTATAAACATGGTCCAGAGCATTAAGAATTCTCCGGGGCTGCTGAAACCTTTTTGGCTCCGTGGATAGAACGTCGGTCTGCAGACTGAAAGGTCCCGGGTTCGATTCCCGTCAAGGTCATGTACTTTGATTGCGGGCACATCCCCCCCAGTAGGGGGTGTGCAAGAGGCAGCTGATGGATGATTCTCTCTCATCGATATTTCTAACTCTCTATCCCTCTCTCTTCCTTTTTGTAAAAAAAAACACACAACAACAATAAAATATTTAAAAAAAACCCAAAAAACAAAAAACAAAAAAAAAAAACACCCCAAAAACTCTGGGGCTGATTTCTGAGTGTCTGCTGGTCATTTATGTAGGAACATCTGAACTTAGGACTTACCTGCATCACTTTACCTATGACCCAGGGGTTTTTTTTAGGGGTGGCTGGAGAGGTGGCATGGTTTAACACATTCTGAGTTCTCCAAGAATGCAACTATTTTATAAATTGGTGGAAATATGCATATCTATAACTGATCTTTCATGAGCTCTGTTCTTGCATTTCTGAAAGGCATGCCCGCAGTGGCCGTGTTTGAGTTATCATCCCAGCCCTGCGATACCTTTGCGCGTCTGCAGGGTGATTCTGTGGGTGGGTCTGAGCACCTGCCGATTTCACTACGTCCCCTAACACCTCATGCCCCTGACCTGGCATCGAACACGTAGCCTCTTGGTGCACGGGACAACGCTCAACCAACTGGGCCACACTGGCCAGGGCTCTCTTAATCTTTTAAAGCCCCTGAGCGGGCATGTTGTTATCTGTGAGTTTCATTTCGGGAGGGTGAACAAGGCCTCACTAAATGTAGCTGCACCGTGCTGGATCGGCCAGGGCTGGAACCCACGGCTTGCACAGCGACGGGTAGAACAGGAGGCTGTTCTCACACCGATGGCTTCCTTCAGCCTCCACGTGCGGCAGAGGATAAAAAAGGCTTGGGGTACGGGGCCACCAGTTTCCCTGAATTATTACCCAAGTGGGCAGGAAAGCTGAGAAGGTCCCGTTCTGAGACAGTAACTGATCGGGGTGGCGCTGACCGGCCTGGGAGACGAGGGCTGTGGAGAGACCTCCCCGGTGCCGTCTGCTGACTCCCGAAGCAAAGCTACCTTCCCTCGTTTTAGTGTAAGCTTCAAGCCAGCCCTTTGATCTTCCCCTTTAAGCCAGTGGTGCTCAACCTTTCCAATGCCGCGGCCCTTTAACACAGCTCCTCACGTGGAGGTGACCCCCAACCATAACATTATTTCTGTTGCTACTTCATAACTGTCGTTTTGCTACCGTTAATGAATCGTAATGTAAATATCTGTGTTTCCCGATGGTCTTAGGCTCTACAGCAGCGGTTCTCAACCTGAGGGCCGCCGAAGACCATCAGGACGAAAATAACGTTGTGGTTGCGGGTCACCACAACGTGAGGAACTGTGTTCAAGGGCTGAGCCATCAGAAAGGTTGAGAACCACTGTTTTAATTCCCCCTGCGATGCGCCAAGCGCCAAGCATCGGAATTGCAGTCCGAGTCTGTGGGCATCACCTCCCATTCTGAGCATCTCAAGACCAGAAGGCTCTCTAACCTATTTTGTGACACACAGCTTCCTAACACTCAGGTCCTGTGTGTGCAGCCGGTGTCTGCTCCTGCTGAGACACGGGAAGGCGGCAAACCTCCTCCAGCTCCCATCCCATCCCTGGACCCGGCTGTGCTGTGCAACCAGTGAGCTCATGGCCCTTCTCTGCTTCCTGCCCCGCTGACCTTGACACTTTGGCCAACAGGTCTGTCCTGTGGGAAGGAAGGGGGGCACATTCTTCTTGCCTGCAAGGGTTTCACAGGCCCTTCCATTCTGACAAGACTTAAACCATGCCCCCCACCCCGCACCCCCCAAATGGTGCGGCCCTGGTGGGCTTCCAGATGCCACCAAGGCTTTGCTCTCACTCCTTCGAATTCCATGCAGGGAGGTGGCGGCCGGAGGTGGCTGGTGATCTACCTGCCTGTTTCCTGGACCAGCCACAGACACGGAGCGGGAGGGAAGAGGCAGCTGGTGGGAAGGCTCTCATCGGTCCTAACTCCCGTAAGGACCTCCCAGCCCTCAAGGTCTCGACCTTGGGCTGTGTCCTTAGCCCAGTCAGTCCGGTTTTAGCAAGAATCCTGCTGGATTGGCTGAGTGACAGTCCCTTCCCCTGAGCTGCTATCTGATGAAATCCCTCACACCCGTCCCTGATATCTGATCACCGGGCCTGCCCTCAGCGGGAGTCCTGCCCAGCCTGTGTGCGGTGACCTTTCAAATATGCCCTTCCCCCGATTCTTCCTCATCCCCGCACGTGTGAGCGGCTGCCCACCACGGCCACAAGTTCCTCTTCCTACCCCCTAACATCCCAGATGGCTTTTGTGTGCCCTCCACCCCGTCCCCAATAAAGCTCCTTGCCCCGGGTCTGCTCTGCCCTGTGACCCTCCTCTTGACCCCTGTCTCTCTGGGAATAGTGAGTAGAAGGAACTCGGTTTTCTCCAGCCTCCCCTCTGCCCCCTTTAGTGGCCACACCTGGATGACCGTCTCAGAGAAGAATCCAGAGCGAGAGCCCCTGGTGTTGATGGTTCCCCAGAAATTTCCCATCCGCAGACCCCACCCTGCCCCTCGGCTACGAATCTCTTGCTGTCCTTGTTGGAGTCAGAGCCCAGCTCCTTCCACCAGGAGCTGACGGCCTGGCTGGGACGACTCACACTCCACCCTGTCTTTGGGAAGATAAATCAGGAAAGGGCCCTCTATCAAGACCGACGGAATCTGCCATAATCTTGAAACGCCAGGAAAAACAAAATAGTCTGGCGTCTCCTCCTTTTGAAGGAAGCCTGACCTCACCTGAAGGATGGTCCCTCCCTGTGCTCACTGAAAAACCTTGCAGAATCTGAATACGACCGAATTTGATAAAGATGTGCAGGACAGACAAGTTTCTGACATCTCACCCCGCGTGGTGGGCACCGCATTATCACTTTCCACCACTAGATGGTGCAGCAGGGTCCTGACCCATCTCCCCAGCACGGCAGCTCCCCTCAACCTAAGGGTGTGAGCTCCCCAGGAAGGCCAAGGTTTTGATGGCAGAGGCCCTGAGGCTACAGAATATCGATCGATTTCTTTGGAGGAGGAGCACCACATTCCACCCACCGCAGTGTCATCGCCAGGCGGTGGAGAGTTGGGACTGTGGTGGTTCCCAAATTCTGGCTCATGGCTTGAAACATTTTCCTGTTTGTGTCTCCCCTGCACCCCCTAAGCGCTGTGAGGCCTGGGTGTCCGTCTTCAAGGGCATGACTGCTCTGACGTCTCTCTAACACACATCGCTATAACGGGGGCCGGGAAGTCACACCGGCGTTACTTATGGTGTCCTGTTCCCTTCAGCCTCACAGCGATGATGGGAAGCAAACCAGAGCATGCGTGGTGACTTAGAGCTCAAACATGAAGAAGCAGCAGAGTCAGCTTTTTCATGTTCCCTCCACTTTGGGGGTGGGGGTGGGGGGTTCTTACAGAGAGGGCAGGAGGAGGGAAACGAGGCACAGACACTGCCAAGAGGCCCAGCGATCTCCCAGTCCAAATCCGGGGGGAAAAGAACCGGGCAGGTAGCTGAGATGGACATGCAAATTGTATGCAAATCATAGGCTGCGGGAGCTGCCTTCTCCCGCAGCCTGTTGAGTCAGAGCCTCCTTCTCGGAGTTCACAGGAGCAAGGACGCCTTTGCACTTAGATACGGACTGATAAACGGAACCTCTCACCTTGCGGAGTCTGGCGAGGAGGCCTGCTACGTGCTCGTGCTGCTCCGCCCTGGCGAGATCTTCCGCCGTCTTCCCATCCTGTGGGAGAAAGGGGTTAGCTTCCTTCCTTCCCCACGGAGAGTGCGGTTCCGCACACCGTTTCCGTCACCCGAGGCGGACACAGGACAGGAGGCAGAAGCAAAGACAGTGACCAGACAGAGCACATCCATCCGGCTTCTTCCCGCGGGGGGGGGAGGGGGGGGGGCTCCTCATTCCACGTGGCTGTGCGGGGAGGGAGGAGGAGGGGAAGAGGTCGTGCATGGGCGTGCTGAGGTGCACTAGTGAGGTGCCTCGGGCCCCCTCTCCGGTACTCCGCACCTCGTGAGCAGGCAGACTACTTGGTGAGTGTCAGCTACCATCTGAAAATCCTTCCAGAGGTAAACCTCAGCACTGAGGTCCTGCTAGTGACTAGTCACTGCTGTGCGTTCAGAGAAAGGTTTTGCTTAACAGACAATTACATCCAAAGACTTTCAGCGAATGTAAGAGAAGGATGTGGGCCAGCCAGGGGCCTGACAAGCTCAGGGGAGGCCTGCACGGTGGCCTTCAGAACTCAGAGATCTAACAGAATCACACAGGATGGACTGAAATGAAAACTAAAATCGAGTCGTGGCAGGTAGTCCTGTTTTAGGCCTGTATCTCCCCTGACAGGGCAATCTTGAGCGTAATTGAGCCTGTCTATTGTCTTTCTGCATCTGTGATAGCATCCATCCGGAAGGTCAGAGTATCCCTCCCTTTCCAGATCCCTCAGGGCACCATCTCCCACCAGAGCTTGGAACCCTTAATTGTTATTGTTATCTGTTCATTGTTAACTGTTAGCTATCCTCTCCCCACCTGTGTAAAAGAAGTGTTTGTCTCTCCTTTCACTTTTTATCCAATCTCAGAGGTTTCTCCCTCTCCCCACGCCTTCCGCATGCCTAATCCTTCCACATCCCTAATCTACCACCAACAGGTTCCATGTGACACCCTTATATTTTCCTCCTATGATTCTACTGTGTAAAATAGGGTGCAGAACTGCCATTCTCAGGAGCATTTTCTCAATCCATTGAGAATTTGCTTCCTTGCAATTGTCAAAGTTTGGTTCAAATAAACGCATAAGAATTCTTAGTTTTGGATGATCCTTACATCAACAAGGATATAAGGGTCCATGGATGGCACTTTGGAGTTTACTTTAAAATTAATAATAAAAATAAAAATTATATATATATATATATATATATATATATATATATATATCGTTATTGATTTCAGAGAGGAAGAGAGGAGAGATAGAAACATCAATGAGGAGAGAGAATCATTTATTGGCTGCCTCCTGCATGCCCCCTGCTGGGGATCGAGCCCTTGACCGGAATCGAACCTGGGACCCTTCTGTCCTCAGGCTGATGCTCTATCCACTGAGCCAAACCAGCGAGGGCCGGGGTTGACTTTTTAACGAGGGGATTTCCGTGGGGCTGCAGTTCCATGCTAACGGAGTCCATTGGTTTCGTGCCATGAACGTGCAGGACAGAGGCTGACATCTCCTGAGCTCCTCCTAGCATCGCCTTGGTCCCACCCTCACTGCTGTGTGCGGGACTCAGCCCCCACAGGCTGCCCCCGAGGACACGGGGCTCAGGCACGGCTCTGCTGCAGTGTTAGAAATCGCTGTATGTTTAAAAGCAGGAACGATGAGGAGCAATTTCCACATAAATAAAAGCAACGTTTTTAAACAAGAAGAACAAGAAGCCGTGGGGCCTATCTCTCAGTGTTTGGCAGTAACCAAGTCCCATCCCCAGGGGAAGCTGAGAAATGCCCAAGACTGTTCAACAGCACACCTTCCCATTCCTCAAAGCAGGCCACTCTCTGAGCCATGCGTGGGGCCCCCGCCAACCAGTGTTCCTCCACCCCAGCATGACTGTCATTCTCACTGTGGGAGGGGATGGGTAGCGGCATCCCTGGCCTCACCTCTAGATGGCAGCAGCATCCCCCTTCTCCACCGGCGACACCCTCAGTGTCAGTGTCTCCAGCCACTGCCCAGTGCTCCCTGGGGGCAAAGTGCCCAGGAGAGAACCAGCACCTTGGGCTGCAGCTGGGAGCCCAGAGGGGTGCCGGGAGGAGGCATGCTTCCGGGCCCACGTCACCGCTCTCTGCACCCTCAGATTCCCGGAAAGTGTCCAATGGGCAGGCAGGGCTTCTGGTTTGCTCTGGGGATGCATCAGGCACCATGTCAGGGCTCACGGCAAACCGTTTAGATCCTTTACTGACGGGGGGAGAAAAGGACTCAGCCGCTCCCAGACTCCACTGTGCACTGGGATCACTGGGGTCTTAAGAACTCCCACCGCCAGGTCTGGAAGGAGGAGTGGGGAGGGACGGGGCCGGGAGCAACTTCACTTAAAAATAACTTGGGGCCGAAACCAGTTTGGCTCAGTGGCTAGAGCGTGCGCCTGCGGACTGAAAGGTCTCGGGTTCGATTCCGGTCAAGGGCATGTACCTTGGTTGTGGGCACATCCCCGGTAGGGGGGTGTGCAAGAGGCAGCTGATTGATGATTCTCTCTCATCGATGTTTCTAACTCTCTCCCTTCCTCTCTGCAAAAAATCAATTAAAAAAAATATATAAAATAACATGCAGGTCTACCAGCAGAGCCAGGCTTCTAAACAAGAGACAGAAGCTCTTGTCAACTGTTGCCCACACCCCCGGGGCCCCTGCCTCCTCCCTCTCCGAAAGCCAAGGCACCTCCAGTGCCCTGCGCGGAGGGGGAGCCTTTAGGAAAGAACACACGCATCTAATAAAGCCGGCAGAGGCACGGTTACGTAACACGGGGAACAAACAGGCCTGGGAGGCGGCAGTGAGTGGATGTCGCCCCGGTGTGTGTGGGTACACGTTCCTGCATTGCAGCGCTGGGACTGGAGCTCAGCAGCAGCTCCTCTACCTAGGAGTGCAGCTGCCAGGCCTCCTCCTGCCCGAGGGCTACTCACCGAGGTCAGCGCCTCCACGTTGGCGCCCGCCAGACAGAGGTAGCGGACCACGTCGAGGATCCCGTTGTTGGCGGCCAGGTGCAGAGGGGTGCGTCCGTACTGCAAGACACAGAGGGACCCAGAGAGCTCTGAGGACGGTGCCCGAGGACTGCGGGCCGGCCCTGGGTGAGGGGTCTGGGGCCCACCGGAAAGAAGCAGGAGGTGTGGCCTGCTTTTCCAGAAACGTGCACCTCCTGAAGGAGGCAAGCCAAGCACAACGTTCTCAAGTGTTTTTTTTTTTTTTTTTTTTTTCAGTTAAAAGACTAACTTCAAAGGGTAAAAAGAGTGGGAGGCTTATCATAAGGTAATTAAGTCTCTTGCTGTGCTGGCATGAAGGAGGGTTCAGTCAGGGCTTAAGGGCCGGCCCCCAGGTTCCAGAGAGATCTGCACCACAGTTCACATTTAGACACAGCAAGGGACGAAGGGACGGGAGGGCAGCCATTGAAGACACACAAATGAGGTCATGTCACCTTTTTTTAATATATATATATAAAATTTTTAAATTGATTTCCAAGAGGGAGAGAGATAGAAACATCAATGATGAGGGTGAATCATTGATTGGCTGCCTCCTGCCAGCTCTCCCCCTCCCCACCAGCCACTGGGGATCAAGCCCGAAACCTGGGCATGTGCTCTTGGCTGGAATCGACCTGGGACCCTTTAGTTTACAGGCCGTTGCTCCGTCCACTGAGGAAAACCAGCAAGGCATGCCCACTATTTTAAAAAAGTGTCTATGGCTCCCAAATTGTGTAACCAGGCACCTCAGGGCACTGCAGTCCATTCCTGGGGGCATGATAAATATTTTAAATTCCTGATAAAACCAGCAGGTTGGGACACCAGGTGAGCCGCTAGCTCCAGGGAGTGCAGGGTCTCAGCACTAGGCTGTACTGACCTCCTTTCCCTGACTCAGCGGGGCCGAGGCAGTGACTGTGATAAGGAGCAAAAGCATTCTGAGAAAACTAATGTCCAATCTGAGCCCAAGATGTGAGGAGCGATGGGAACACCCCATTAGCACATAGCTGTGGTTATGTAAGGATGACATGAACCTATTAGTTTTCTTTCGATGTATGTGAATCACTCATTGCAATGGCTATGAACTTGTTAGGATACAAAGACTCACTAAGTTGTTTAGACTGAGCTTCTTAATAAACAGAACTGTTCTGTTTTTTTTTTGCCCTGGGGGAGCCATGAAAAAAATTATTGAGACACAACAGATGCTGGGAACTAAGAAAGTTAGGGTCCCTCTTGTCTTCCACTGTTTATTTGCAAATATAGGATTGTTTTTGTTTGTTTGTTATGAAGTTAACACAGGCTCATTTGAAATGTCTCAGTGACACAGAAGGATAAATGGTAGAAAGTAGAAGTCCTCCTTCCCTACTCACTCCCTCCTCCACGTCTCCCTGCTCAGACCTGGCCCTACTTAACACTCTGGGGCATTTCCTTCCAACCTTCTATCTGATATCCTACCGAATAGAAGAGAAACATGCAAATGGATCACACCTTCAGTACGCCCACAAACCCCGCCCATCAACCAATCAGGGTGAGTATGCAAATTAATACAACCAAGATGGCGTTTAATTTGCATATCCAGGCCAGAGTGAAGACTGAAGACATGTAGAAAGAAGCCAAGTGCTTCAGAGAAGCAAGCAAGCAGGCCAGGGAGAAGGGAGGAAAGCAGGTGGGTCAGGGGAGAAGGGAGGAAAGCAGGTGGGCCAGGGGAGAAGGGAGGAAAGCAGGTGGGCCAGGGGAGAAGGGAGAGAAGCAGGTGGGGCAGTGACTGCAGCAGGAAGCCCTATTGCAGGAATCTTTCGCAAGGGGCATTTAGTGAATCCCTAAAAGGACACAAATTATTTGAAAAAGTCCAAATGTAATCCTCCTCCAGATTCTATTCCATCACCGGCTTCGCGCACCTCACAATGGATTATGAACACTTTTCCACGTGTCACTAAACCTACCTCCTTCTCTCAGACACCGGACTAATGCCCACGACATGGATATGCCACAGGCCGTTCGCCAACCCGCTGCGGAGGGACACCGAAGGTGGTCTGTTCCTTGCCATTGTGAATGACGCTGCAAGGTGTGTGCCTGTTTATGTTCTGTCTACTGTTATCTTCTAGAGCACTGGTCGGCAAACTGCAGCTCAAGAGCCACATGTGGCTCTTTGGACCCTTGAGGGTGGCTCTTCCACAAAATACCACGACCTGGGCGAGTCTATTGTGAAGAAGTGGCATTAGAAGAAGTTTAAGTTTAAAAAATGTGGCTCTCAAAGGAAATGTCAATCGTTGTGTTGTTGATATCTGGCTCTGTTGACAAATGAGTTTGCCGACCACTGGTCTAAAGCGACTTAGAAGGCAGCACCCTCAGTACCTACACCACATGTCAGTTACAGGGGCCCCTAGACAGTCCCCAGACACACACACACACACACACACACACACACACACACACACACGCTTCCCTCGGTCTGCAATAGTTTCCCCTCTTCATCTGCCAAAGCCCCAATCACTTTAAGTGATTGCCCCTGAAAAGCTTTCCTTAGTTTCCTTAATGTTCAGATGTCAGCGTTTCCATAGCGCCTGTGCGTCTGTCACAGCCATTACTGAGACCTGAGATGCTATTACTACATTGAGAAACTGAGAGAAAGAGAGAGAGAGAGAGAGAAAGAGAGAGAGAGAGAGAGAGGAAGAGAAGCAGCCTGAGGGCAAGAACGATCACAGTGCTGCCCACAGCCCCCTCCCAGGGGCCTGACACAGTGCTGTCCGAGCCAGGCAGCGATAAACACTTGATTGGGCACAAAACCCTCTCTCATGCTCCTGAGGTACACGTGTGTGCATCTGTGTGTACGTGTGCTTGTGTGCCACACGCATTCTCTCTCTTAACTGATGAGAAGAGGCAACACAAAAGGAACAAAGAGTTAAGGGCTGTGTGCTGCCAAAATTGGTTTGGCTCAGTGGATAGAGCATCGGCCTGGGTACCAAAGGGTCCCAGGTTCTATTCTGGTCAAGGGCATGTACCTTGGTTGCGGGCTGTGCAGGAGGCGGCTGATCGATGTTTCTCTCTCATCGATGTTTCTAGCTCTCTATCCCTCTCCCTTCCTCTCTGTAAAAAAATCAATAAAATATATTTAAAAAAACGAAACAAAACAAAAAAGGGCTGTGTGTTCTGCACCATCTCTTCCCTCCTCACGTGTTCCCCAACATGGCCGTGTTCAATAGTCACTCTCGATTTTCATACGAGAAAAGCGAAGACTAGGAACTGTCTATTACACGGTAGTGACAAGTTCCCGTCACATCCTGGTGACAGGGGTGGGATCTGCATGGCATTCTTATCTCTGGGGGAACTGAATCCAAGGAAGGAACAGGTCGACCGCGGGAAAGGAGCGACAGTCTGCCCGTGGACGTGGCCGTCACTGTGCCGTGTCCAGGCGTCCTGACAGCCCCCTACGAGGAGGGTGAGTCCCCGTGAAGCCAGCTGTGCTTCCCGGGGAAAGAATGCCATCCGCTTACTTCTCTGCACCTCTTTTAACCTCCTTTAGAGTCCCCGTTATCTTTCAAAAAAACCCCCACAAAAACCAAAACAAAAGGAACAGAGAGGCAAAGCGGACCCCGGCCCTTCTGAAGGCGGGAGACCCACGGAGTTGCCGTGGGCTGAGCCTGGCGCTGAGGGCAGCGGGCACCTGCCTGCAGGACCAGAACCTGGAGATGCTCCAGCAGCTGCCGCTCCAGGCGGGCTCTGCAGAACAGGCTGAACTTTGCTGCTGATCCCAGGAGGTTGAAATCGTGCAACTAATGAGTTATCCTCTAGCTGAGCTCAACTCAATTTTGTCAACTCAATGACAAAATCATCGGCTGAGTGCCGTGTATATGCCATTGCTGGGCCGTCCATGGAAACAATACAAGTTTATGTTGGAGTATATGACCTACCACGGCCATCTATAGCATCAAATGTCAATGCTTCCTAATGAGTTTCTCTCCCCCTGCACCCGCCCAAAAGATGTTGAAGCTTTCCTATGAAATGGACCAGTTTTTTTTTTTTCTCTCTCTTTCTTATATATATTTTTATTGGTTTTAGAGAAGAAGGGAGAGGGAGAAAGACATAGAAATATCAATGATGAGAGAGAATCATTAGTCGGCTGTCTCCTGCATGCCCCCTACTGGGGATTGAACCGCCAACCCAGGCATGTGCCCTTGACTGGAATCGAACCGAGGACCCTTCTGTCTGAAGGCCGACGCTCTATCCACTGAGCCAAACCAGCAAGGGCTGAACCAGTTGTTTTTAAGCATGAAAGTCTAGGATCTTGTGGCTGGGCATTTTATAGAGCAAACTTAAGAAACGCACTATTTTGTCCTGAGGCCTGAGGCGAATATCCGGTGCTCCTTTAGAGGTAATGGTGAGACACGGGGTTCTAACCCTCAGCTGGCAGACGATGGCCAAGTCTAAATGTATTCAAATGAGTGCCCCGATGTTCCTGGAAGATGCTTTTTACTCATTTAAAGACTCCTAGAAGGAAGCCAAGGTCTTGATGCTTCTTAACATTGCATTTGGCTTTCCCTTTAAGCCACTTACATAACTGACTTGGCAAGATTAGAATGGGATAAACGAAGAAAGCTACCAGCAGTTAATGGCTAAGACCTCAGATATTGCCTTTTCATATTTCTAGAATGTGAAGATTACTAATTTCAACTTCCACTGGAATTAATCACATAATATGCCTCAGGAATAATTTTTTTTGGTAGGAGTATAACTTTCTGCATTTCAGGTATTAATTCTTTCACCTCAAACAAATCATAATAAAATTTTGCTGGCACACATGCCTGCCATGTATAAAACAACATTTCCTGCCCGAGCCGGTTTGGCTCAGTGGATAGAGCTTTGGTACGAGTACTGAAGGGTCCTGGGTTCAATGCTGGTCAAGGGCACGTACATTGGCTGCAGGCTCAATCCGTGACCCTGTTTGGGGTGCTTGTGGGAGGTAACCAATCAATGTGTGTCTTTCACATGGATGTTTCTCTCTCTGTCTCTCCCCATCCCTTCTAGTCTCTCCAAAAATTCAATGGAAAAATATCCTCAGGTGAAGATTAACAACAACAACAAAAAACACACATACACACAAAACACACACACACACACAAACAAAAAACAGAAGAATAAAAAGAAAAGGTCCATATGAGGAATACTGACTGAACAATGAAGAGATGCAAAGAGAACTTGGACAAAATCCGGAAGCAGGTCAGTAGGCCCTTCAGGGGCCTTTCCCTCCGGCCTTACCTTGTTGGAGATATCCAGATCGGAGCTGGCCTCACAGAGGGCCATCACGATGGGCACGTTGCCATCCTTGCAGGCCACATGGAGGGGGGTATTGCCGTGCCTGTCCTGGAAATTGACGAGGCTCCCCTGGCTGATGAGCGTCTGGATGACCTCCATCTGACACCGCCTCACCGCAAGATGGAGAGCGATGTGTCCATCCTGCAACACACACCAGGGCCATGAGCACTTCCACTTGGCCCATGGGCCTGGCTTCGCCCTCCCAGCTGCCACCGGGCCAGGAGTCATTGGCGACAGGCTCCCTACTGCAAAGGCCGAAGGGGGACCGAAACCACACATGTCACTCCCGGGGGTTGGGGGAGAGGCTCTATACAATCCACTCTGAGAAATCGGACTCTGCTGACCATCAGCGCGGTTACTCTAGCGTTGGCCAGTGCCATCGGGTAAGAAGTCTGGGCACCACTTTTTGTCTCAGGCTATACAGGACGTAAGTAACAGGCACTCCAATGGCCCGTGTTCTCAAGTAGTTGAAAAACACCTTTAAGAACATTTAAGCAATCTTTACAGCAGGAGAAGCTGTGAAGGGATGTGAAGGGGAGGGCTGTCCTGTGTATGAAAAGCAAAGACAACATGCTTACTCCCTGCATCCCACCAGAGACACCAGCCTGAGGATTCCTTCTACCTTTTATAGGATTCCCGGTGAGCAGACAGATTGCATTCAGGAGCTGGTAGAGGGTTTTGGAGACATGTCTATACCTCATCTGTTCTAGGGCTCCTTACGCTCAGCACAGTGACTGACATTTTGGTCCTGTCCTGTGAGTCGGAGGATATGCTAGTAAGAGGCACCGCCAACCTTTATCTACTCGACACCAGTAGGAACGCCCATGACAACCAATAAGCGTCTCCAGTCATTGCCAAATGTCCCCTGGGGGCAAGACTGCCCCAGCTGAGAACCACTTCTCTGTACCAAGAAAATACTCCACAAATGGCAGTCACTAAATTAACTAGTGTCCAGATCTAGCTAGATAATGCAAAATCACAGCCTCATGTTAAGTACAAGCTCACAATAAAAACAGATTGTGTTGAATTAGCTTAATTAAAAATCGAACACCTGGTCTAGAATTGAGTTTCAGACAAATAAGAGTGGTTTTATTGTCTTTGACAAAATAGCAGGTGATGGAAATCAATAAGCCACCTATCTCTGTATAGCTACAAATTGACAGTAGATACACAAAGAAATGGGTGTCTTATTGATTTCCAGTGCCAATCTTCGCCCTACATGAGGGTTGTCTTGGGCTCAGCGATCATCCCTGTCCCTGCTCCCAGCTGAAAAGGCGAAACCAAAAGAGATCCGAGTCGTCTGACCAGTTCATCCATGTTGCCGTGTGTATGCCACACATGAATGTTAATTATTGAACAGAATCTGGAGAAGCTCACGGCATCTTTGGGGCAGCGAAGAGAAAGGATAACGACCATGTGCTGCGTTCAAGTTCATTTTGGGCAAGCTAACTGCAGACGTCTTGTGGTCCCTCCAGCCCCCCCAGACCCCTTCTCGGCGAGAGCGATGCGTTCACCCACCACGCACCTTGTCCGAGGCGTTCAGGTCGCCTCCGTGCTCGGCCAGACACTCCACGATGTCGTGGTAGCCCCTGGCGGAGGCCGTCAGCAGGGGCGTCTCCCCTTCTCGGTTCTTGATGTTCACGTTGCAGCCGGCTTCGCAGAGGGCTTTGGCCACGGCGTGGTAGCCATGCCAGGCGGCACAGTGCAGAGGGGTCTCTTCCTCCTGGCCGGGCGACAGGGGCAATCAGGGGAGAGGAAGCGCAGGCGAGGTGAGGGTCCCCTCCGCGGAACTCGGCAGCTAAGCCGAGGCAACGGAGAGAACGAGCCAACGACTGGAGTGAAACATTAGCCCGACATGAACAGACACAGGCCTCTCCTTCCCTCCGTTTGTTTCCTCAACGCTTGTGCGCGTTGGATGCGTTTGGCACGGTCGGCATCTGAGCTGCAGAGGACGTGGGTTAGCTCAGCTCTTTGGAACCATCGAGCCCCACCTCCGTGCAGGAGGGATTTTAGCATCTTTCTTACAAAAGGGCTTCGTTCGCTTCGTCTGAGGTGACTGACGGGAGGAGAGCACTTCTTTGAACAAGAATTCTCATCACCATCTCAATGCCTCACCATGCCTGCCACGCATTTGGCAAAGATGAGTCACGTAAACGCATCGTTTGATGGCTGAGGCAAATAAAAGTAACGGGGATAACCATGTTATAGTAGCCAGAGAGGGCTGGCCATGGGGTCTATGGGGTTGTAAGGCTGTATGTTCATGGACACACATGTCTGCCTACGTGAGGCCATCGGAGTGAGTGGTTACTGACAGGGACTCTGGAACCAGACCCTGTGGTTTCGAACCCCAAACCCTAGCTCTCCCACTTATGAGTAGTGTGAGCTTCGGCAAGATACTGAACCTCTCCCTGCCTCAGTTTCCTCTTCTGTAAAATGAGAATGATAGCAACAGCAATAACAATTCCTAGGGTGTTCCAGAGGGTTAAATAGACGGATGTGAGGTAGTGCTTCTGTTGGAGGCCCTGCCCTCTGGAATCTAAGCAGAAACTTGGATAAAACTGGGAGGCCTGGGCCCTGTCGCCGTCTGTCTGTACATCCATGCAGAGAGCAGAAGGGAGGGAGGACACCTGCTGCCATGACCCACCTTGTCCTGGAAATTGGGATTGGAGCCGAAGCTGCACAGCAGCTGAACCACATCGGCGTGGCCATAGCGAGCCGCCACGTGCAAGGCTGTCTCTCCAGACTGCAAAAGGAAACCGCCAGAGTCAGAGCGCCCCCGGGAGCAGGCTGTGGGGACTGGAGGCCCGGCCACACACACCTGGCTCCACTTCCTTCCTTCGGGGGGTGCCCACCTCCCTCCGTCCCGATGGTGCCTGGGCCAGGGGCCCTGAGGGTGCAGTGTCCATCACGGAGCTGGTGGTAAACCCACACGCCAGGCTCACTCTGTTGGTCGTGCAACCCCAGGTGTGATGGCTGTTCTCACACTTCATCTACTGCTGCTTCCAGCTATGATTTCTTTAAATACAAAACTCCTTTCTTTAGTATCGGGTTCACCACCCAGCAGATATGTAAATGTACGGTTTTATTAACTAACACGTGTCTGATTTCACTGTCCATGTTTAGAATCTCATTCCTTATATTCTCAGAGATTTTAAAACATCACTATTAACTTTCAGTGAATTAGCAATAGGAGCAACTTCATTAACGTATTTTACTTATAGTCCCCCCCCCCCCCCGCCCAAATCGTTAGAATAAATTGATTAAAACAAAACAAGATGCCTTATTGCCACTGGACAGAAAACTGTCCTAATAAATACACTTGTCTTTGATGTGCATGTCATTCTTAGACTGGTGCAGGGCACAATCCATACGACTGTGTGTGGCAGCTCTGACCAAATGTGACACCTTCGGCTGCAAGCGTGAGCAGCAGAGATGGGATGCACGGCAGGACCCATAATGGGTGACAATGGATGCTTCTCACCTGGTGCAGGAGCAGGACTGTGGGATGGAATGAATGGGAACCTGACTCTATGAAAGTAAGGTATCTTGCTGAGTCAATAATTTCTATAGCATCTGTGCTCCCCCAAAGCCTTACTTTATATGCATTGTCTCATGAACCCTCCCAGTGACTGTGAGGTCGGCATTGTCAGCCACTTCGAAGATGAAGAGTGTGGTCAAGAGGCACGCATGTGGCGAGCCAACGTGAGCTTCAGACCCGGGTCTCTTTCTGGCTGTCCTTCTACCAGAACTTAAGAGTTTTCCTGATACTCATGCAAAGTAATTCATGGCGTATCACGGCAAACGTCTGGCAGGTTTCAGCTAAAAGCCGATTTTAACATTAGAACAAGCCACCGGCAAAAACAAATTTCTAGGTTAAATTTTCTAGGTAGGAAGATTCGGGTCCCGAATCCTTGCTCTCTGGGTCCTGAGGTGCGTGGCAAGACGAAGCTCAGATGCAGCCTGAAGTTACTTCCCCCGTCCCTAAGGAAAGTGGCCTTACCTTGTCTTTCACATCCAAGGGGCATTTGTTCTCATGGAGAAACTTCAAGGTGTCCACGTGGCCGTGCCGGGAGGCCCAGTAGATGGCATTGGATCCGCCCTGTGCGGAAACCGGGGTGGAGTCACACTTCCAGAGCCGAGGGGTCTGAGTGCTCATCGCTCAGACACACTCTGCTCCCCTCCTCCGTGACGGCAAACTCCACAGAAGCACCTTCCGTTTCATTTGTTTGTGCACAGGGACCGAGCGCACGTGAAATGCTAACATTCCAGGGAGCTGGGGGAGGCGATGAGGGAGCTCTGTGTATTACTATCTTTGCAGATTTTTTTGGGTCACTTTAGAATTACGTTAAGATAAAAGGTTGTTTCTCTTTCCTTACAGCCTTCACTTGAACTTCTGGTTGGAATTCCCTACCCTGTCAAGGAAGAGACCCATTGTACTAGTGATGCCTATTAACTGTTAATCAATGTGTCTACACTGCCAATGCGATTTACACCTCAAAGCGTATCATCCTTCCCTGCGGCCCTCGTACACAAGCAGGCAGACACAGTTCCGGTGAGGCGAATTAGACAATGAAAACTTCCCCAGCTGTGACATCTTACAGTAACACTGTTCAGTAAGTGATCAGTGAGGAGAAAAATCTGGGGTCGTGCGCATGGAAAGGCTGATATCCAAAAACAGAGCCCAGAGAAAGATCAGCGTTTTCCTCTTGCTTTACAACACCTGTTAGCTTGGACCAGGCTACTTAAGCAGTTCCTCTTCCTTTATAGGAAACGGAAGTAAAGTATACATGTTATTTTCTCTGTAACTTCTAAGATGAGAGGCATTTGGGAATACTTAAAAAGTTAATTTATTTGCAACAAGACAGAATGATAACCTTATCCTGGATATCGATTCTTGAGCCTCTTTTGATGAGCAACTGCAGCATCTGAATATTTCCACAGCCAGCAGCAATAAGTAACGGAGGTGTCCCATGCTGGAATAGGCAAGAGAACAAAACAAAACTATTTTTCAGGTTTGGCAGGGGGAAAAAAAAAGCCTAAATTATCATTGCTATCCCACACACCTTCCTATGTCCAGGAATGCAAGACAGTCAGAGCACAGTGTGCTTCCTCTTTCGGTTTCACAATCAAAAGGTAACATTTTCATTTTTGGGGTGGGTACTTTACATTTTCATGGTTAGAGGTGTAATTGGTGCATGTGGAATGGCCTTGCATGAAGAAAGGCTCTGAATGCCAAAAGGCCTGATTTCTAAGTCATTTCACTCTCTCCATGGAAGTGAGTTTCCCCCCACAGGATCGGGCTTGCAACTAGCAGGGGGAATGAGGAAGCAGACAGGGTCTCTCCCTCTGGGTGCACAGTCACATGATCCCCTCTCTCACGACCCCCGCCCTCCTCCCAACCCTGATAGAACAGGATCAGACCTTGTTGGGTTGGTTGACATCATAGTTGGACAATGAACCCAGGAGGTGCTGCAGGCCTGGGACATTGTCATCGTTGATGGCGTGGATGATGGCTTTCATCACAAAGGAGTCTTCCTCATCCTTGAGAGAGACAGCAAAGAGAGTGCTAGAACATGTCCTCGGATTCGCGGGATATTGAGATGAATGAGAACCCGAGGTCTGGGAGGAAGAAGTCTCCCCACCCGGAGTTCCTACACGGTTTGGGTCCCTCTTCTTCCTTCAACTTTTCTTGCAATAAATGTCCTTTCTCCCAGCTGCTTATTCAGAATGATTTTAACGTATACTATCCAATCATTCTCATTCTCTTACATTAATAGTTTTATCTTTTCTTTGGTCCCACAATTCCCAAATCCAGCCTTCCGCCTCTTCCTCTCCTTTCTTCTATCTTGCTTCTCTCCCACTTCTTTTTTCTTTTTAACATATACAATCTCTTTTCACACTACAAGGCTAGAGTTTGGCCTCAGGGAAACAACTAACTTTGGAGAGGGGGGATATAAAAGAGCTGGTGTGTGCTGATGTGTGATTCTGCCCTTGGAATCCCCAGATTCCACTCAGGAAACGCTGACTATTCAGTTACAGGAGTGGCCTGGTTCCCACAGAATCACCCTGTCTGCCTTTCCCGCGTTCCCTTTGCCTCCAGGGATAACAAAGCCCCGTTGTCTGACTGTCAGAGCAAAGTCTTATTGAATTCAAATATGTGTCTAGTCATATCTGAAGAGTCGATCTGTGATTAGGTTTCAGTTTGGAGTAAGGGGAAAAAATCATGGAGTTGTTCTCAAGGGCTTTGGACAGTCAGTACAATGCTAACAAAGCAAGTGGGTTTAGCCTCCTGGTCTACCACAGACTAGACCAGCAAGCCCTACTGCTTTTTCTCTAATCGAGTGTGTGTGTGTGTGTCTGTGTGTGTGTGTGTGTGTGTGTGTGTGTGTGTGTGTTCAGGGGGAGGATTATCTGCCCCTTTTGTACGACTACAACCCAAGAGTCTCCCAGGTCAGTGGCAATAGAAGGCTCCCATTTCAGTTAATAAAAACTAAAATGAGCTCTTCGCTCTTCTACTGACCAGCCTTTCTTTTTATCAAACTGTGAGTGTGGGAGGAGGTGGGTGGTAGTGGTAGAGGTAATGGGTGGGAGTACAGTGCCAATCAAAACGCGCAAAAAAAAGAACGAAGACTCTCTACCCTGAGACGAGGAAGGGTAAGTCTGACCTTTACACGACTTCAGGTTTTCGGGGTTGTGGAACAAATCAAACCACCTAGTATGCTAAGTACACAGTGCTAAGAAAGCACCTCACCAAGGCAAACACATTCACTCACCAGAGTATCGTCGCTTCTGGCAACACTCATGTTACTTCTGGACAAGAACGACCTGGATAATCTTTGGCACAGTGATATCAAGCGAACGGATTGCTTAAAAAAAGAAAAAAATAAAGAAGAAAAAAAAGAGGATCAAGAAAGGCAGGGGGAAAGGAGAAGAGAGTTTATGTAACAATACTCAAATCAGTGCAAGTGACAGTCTTGGAGATGGCATTCACTGCTGATAGCATGCATTCTCGGGGGCAGGCATCCCCTGAGTAGTTGGAATGTATTTGCTTAAAGAATAATTCTACATACAGGTCTTATATCTCAAGACAGAACTGGATGCCTTCCATCCCTTTTCCTCTTGACATTTTGTTCTTGATTCTTTGAGGAATTAGCTCTTACCCCAGCAAAACCCTTGCACGTAACCCCCTCAGAGAAGCATGGTACGCAAGCATCTCGCCCTGTGTCCTTGGTCCCAGGCAAGCCGGTAATGGTAGACAATGTGACTATCAAAACTCATACAATTGTTGGAAATGCACAGGAAACAGAATCAGCAAATCCCTCAATGTCAAATAATCTTACTTTCCATTTTTTCCGGGCTGCGAACTTCTTGAATTTCTCCATGTTGACTGCTGATGCTTTTCTACTAAGTGCTTGTTGGGTATCTTTAGGCTAAAATGGAAGTCCAAGAAAATATTTATAGCTTTCAAATTATAGAAACGTGTTACATGACCATTTTTTGAAACCTCTCAGTATTTGGAATATTTGATCACACATTTACCTTGCTAGAATAACAAAACATATTGAAATAAAATGCAAGATCTAGGAAGCCAGTCGGAAGAGGCTAACCCTTGTGGCTAAGGATTTGCTACATCTATAAAGACTGAATGTTGTGGCCTAGCTGGTTTTGCTCAGTGGATAGAGCATTGGGTCTGTGGGCTGAAGGATCCTAGTTTCAGTTCTGGTCAAGGGCATGTGCCTGGTTGTGGCCTCGATCCTCAATTAGGGGCGTGCAGGAGGCAGCTTATCAATGATTCTCTCTCATCATTGATGTTTTGATCTCTCTCTCTCTTACTTTCTCTCTGAAATCAACTCTATATATATATATATATATATATATATATATATATATATATATATATATATTTGTATGTATATACTTAAAGAAGAAGAGGAGGGAAAGAGGAGGAGGAGGAGGACGAAGACTGGATGCTGGATGTTGAGGAAAAGTTGAAAAGTTGATCTTGGACCAAGCTGAATTACAACTTTTCACAAGAAAGTCTAGGAGTGGCAAGACAGATGGTGAGACCATGTTCTGAGGCATTTGAACTTGAACATCAAGTAATTTAGAGCTCGGAGGGACCTCAGAGGTCATGGTATGAGGCCTGTCTGACAGCATTAGCATGCCTTCTGTTGTACCTTTTCCCAGGAAGCTCTGCTTCTGAGAGAGACACCATTGCCTTCTAGCAACTGTCTGGGCCTGGTGCAGGCAGAGTGTTCTCCAGCTGTGCCAGACCCACTTTCGTAACGCACGTCATTGCATCACAACCTGCTTCTCGGTTCCATGATTTTATTCTGAACAGCCATGTTCCCCCACCCTCAGGCCTTTCTGTTCCCGCTGAAGGAAACTTCAGGTCTCTTGTGTGGGGAATTTTTATCAGAGTTTATTTGAACCAAACTGGTGCCGGAGAGCAAGATTTCAAATGCTTTGGGGAATGACATTTTCGGTCTCTTTTATGTATCGGAAATTAGGGAGGGAACACAAAGAAGATTATAGGAGGATGGATGAAAGTAAGGTGGGGATTGGATTACAGGAGAGTTAGCAAGATTATGTGCTCTCCTGAGGGTGGTTTATCCCTTATTTCAGAGGCGTGTTAACGTAGATACTCAGTAAACCATCGTCCCCTGTCCATTGCTTAAGGCAGAGATAAATCTCTTACTAAAAAAGCGTTCTGTCTGGGGCATGACTACCTACTATGACCCATGACCTGCCCAGTTAGAAATTTATTATCAGACGGCTCCGTGAGGTTACTTTCACAAGACCCCTTTCCACCCACATCGACTTCCATTATTTCATCTAAATGCCTGAAGGCATCAGGCAGGCAATAAAAAGGTGAAATATGCCAGGAGGCGGCCATAGCCCTGGCACAAAGGCCTCCTGGAATGAGGACTCAGTTTGAGTAGACTTGACCTTTAGCCCCTTTCCAATCTTGCCTCAGGATAGCTTTCTCCTCTCCACCTCTGTTATCATTAGCATACTCTTATTTGCTAGTGGTGTTAAATTATGGCCTCCAAACCAAACCCAACACTCCAGAAATGTCCTATGGTTAGCACCCACAGAACTGGTAATGCACGAATTTCAGGAGGCCCTTTCACACCCAAACCAATCACCACATCACATGCAGCTTACCTTGATCCAGGGGTGCTGCAAACTATCTTGAATGGTCATCCTCTTCCTTTGTGGGGAGAAGAGAAAGAAAGAAAGAAAAAAAAAGAAAGAAAGAAAGAAAAAAAATGCTGTGACCCCCAGAAGCAAACACTATTTGTTTCCCTGCCGGCTGGGCCTACAAAACAGATGTTCTAGAAAATGCAGTTTGGGGTTTGCTTCGTGGAAGAAAGTCCAGAAGAAAAAAGTGCGCCTGTGTGGCTTCTCCCTGTGCCTGCAGGACTGACCGGACAGGGACAAAGGAGCCTGCGTTGTCTGAGGAGTTTCACTGGGCATGCCTCCCTCTGTGAGGAGCAGCCACCGGGGCTCACCAGCCTGGCCCCGTGCACAGGACGGGGGCACACCCTCGCCGTGCGGAGGCCACGGCTCAGCGCTTTCCAGGAACCAGGGACACTCACTTTGGATCCTTGACGAGCAGTCTTCTTATGAAATCTTTGGCGAGGGCACTGGTGTTACTGAAGTATTCTTCCTCAAATTCGTAGTTGACGGCGGATACATTTGCTAACGTCTCTTGCTTCGTGTCCCCGAGAAATGGCGAGGCCCCACTTAGGCTGTTGATAAAGTGGGGGCACAGAGCAAGAACCATTACCTCTTATGTTGTCATTCCGTTCCCATCATACCTGATAAGGGGGGGTGAGGAATAAGATTATAATGTGGGGCTTGGGCAGTCCATTTTGGAATTCCACTTAATTGTCAGGCACAAAAGCTGCGGCTTAATGCAAAGGATGCATTTAAAAAGTTAATATCTGGAACAGCATCTCGTAGTTTACAAAAGACCTCCCTCCTGCTTCCTCAGTGATGGACAGACGTGCTTTCTTCGGGTGATTATGCTGCAGTTTCTGATGACTCACTTCAAAGTCGGAGAAAATGTTTAATTAGTATAAACTAAGCGTGTTCTGGGGGTGTAAGATGAATGTTTACATAAAGAGCACGCATAAGCTGAAGAGATCAACATGACTGCTTAATAAAACAGACGGTCTCGAAAGAAGGAAAGAATGGGAGCTGTGGATTCTGGTACTTACAGAATATAGGTGATTACTCCAATACTCCTAGACACGAAACAGAAACAAAAACTAATGTCAGAATAATAACAAATTAAATGAGAAAGATGACAACATCAAGGATGCAATACTTACCACATATCTGCCTCGAGACCAAGAGGTTCATAGTTGACTATCTCAGGAGCTAAGAGGAAAGAAATGCACATTGAGAGAGAGAGTTTTGGAAGGAAGCAAACCAACAGGTCGTATGTTCATGTATAAACCAGACACATGTACCAGGGAAATGTTGCCAACATAATGCTTAGGAGAAATACATGACCACAGGAGCAAAGAAACTTACCGACAAATTCTGGTGTCCCAAATATGTTTTTGAATTCATTTCCAAAATCAATTTTATGGGCCAGCCCAAAGTCGATGATCTTGATCCGAGGTTTGGGAACATTTCTATCCAAAAGCATTATGTTTTCAGGCTTGAAGAAAAAAAAAGAAACAGTGCTGCAGTGATATTCATAGTAACCAAAAGGTAGGGAAAAATCCAGTGTCCACCAACAGAGGAATGGGTAAACCAAATGTGGTAGGTAATATAACGGAACATTGTTCACATTGGAAAGGAAGTCAAGTCTGAAACTTGTTACAACGTGGAAGAACCTAGAAGGCATTATGCTAACTGAAATAAGCCAGATATAAAAGGATAACTATTATATGAGTCCACTTATATGAAGTACCTGGACAAATTCATGGAGTCAGAAAGTAGAATGGTGGTAGTGCGAAGATGGGTTTGGGGCCGTGGTCGGCAAGCTGCGGCTCGAGAGCCACATGCGGCTCTTTGGCCCCTTGAGAGCGGCCCACGGCATGGGCGAGTCTATTTTGAAGAAGTGGCGTTAGAAGTTTAAGTTTAAAAAATTTGGCTCTCAAAAGGAATTTCAATTGCTGTACGGCTGATATTTGGATCTGTGGACTAATGAGTTTGCCGACCACTGGGTTGGGGGAAAGGACGGGGAGTTACTGTCTAACGGGCACAGAGTTTCAGGGTGGGAAGATCAATAAGTTCTAGAAGTAGATGGTGGTGATGGCAGCACAACAAGGTGGATATACTGATGCCACTGAACTGCATACTTAAAAATGGTTAGAATGGTATAAATTATATGTTATCTTTATTTTACCACAATAAAAAAATAGCAGCTAAGCTACGCTATACTAAGGTAAGACGGCTGAATAACTCTTCCTCTCCCCTGAAAAAACAACTGAAAAACAGGCATAAAGGGTACTTGCACCAGAACACCAGGAAAAATAAATGTTTTGGTTTAGGTTCTCCCAGGAGAAGACCTGGGACATTCGGGTGCATGTGGCTTATAGGGATGGGGAGACAGGAGATGGAAGGAAGCCGATACATGGCATCTTACCAAACTAGGAGTGACTGCAGTGTGACCCCTTTGAGGAACTTGGGGAGAAAAAGTAGCACTCAGAGTTTTCCAAAAAACAGGAGGGAGTTCAGGGGTTTATTGACCATCTCACCATCCTTCATTGCTAAGAGCTGTGCCTGTGGGCATTTACTCTTTTTTTTTTTTTTTTTTTTTTTACTATATTTTTATTGATTTTAGAGAGGAACGGAGGAGAGGGAGATAGAAACATCAATGAGAATCATTGATCAGCTGTCTCCTGCACTTCTCCTACTTGAGCTTACAACCTGGGCATGTGCCCTTTACTGGAACTGAACCTGGGACCCTTCAGTCTGCAGGCCAACGCTCTATCCACAGAGCCAAACCGGCTAGGGTGGCATTTACCCTTTAGCATTGCCAGCTCCCAGGGCCGGAAACCAGATGTCAAGCAGAGAGCTATAGGTGTTTGCAACAGCAGTCTTTGGGGTGTGCCTTAGTGAGTGTTGGGGGGACACAGATGGGGTCTCCATAGCTTTGCTACAATAGCATGAAGAAAATCCTTCCTCTGCTATGGTCCTATCCTAGCTCCAATGATCCGAATCGTTCACTTGGCAATCGATCACATGCTACTTTGCACTTGAATCTTAACATTGTCACTTCCTGTGACTCACGGGTGTCTTACCTTCCCAAAGAGACCAGGACCTCTGTGACTGTTGGGAGTATGACATTAACTCCCATAATGCCCTGCCTCCAACCAGATATGATCCCACTTAGTTAGTCTCAGAATTTGGCTTGATTGATTGCCGGTGGCAGAGTCAGACCCATAAGCCTTTGCGTCAAGAAGAAGAGTAGAGCCTTAACTGGTTTGGCTCAGTGAGTAGAGCATCAGCCTGTGGACTGAAAGGTCCCAGGTTTGATTCTGGTCAAGGGCATGTACCTTGGTTGCGGGCAAACCCCCTGTAGGAGGTGTACAGGAGGCAGCTGATTGATGTTTCTCTCCCATCAATGTTTCTAACTCTCTATCCCTCTCCCTTTCTTTCTGTAAAAACTCAATAAAATATATTTTAAAAAAAGAAAAAAAAAAAAAGAGGAAGAGTAGAGATTGAGGCTCTATCTTACTGTCCTGCAGCCACCGGGGGATGGAGACTGGGAAGCCAGTGGACACTCCCGGCTAAAGATGTCTTACCACCAACAGCAGCCCCGTTGCTTAAAGACCTGGCTGAGGAGACCCCTCGATTCTTCCCCAGGGATTCTCATAATCATTAATCTCAGGCTTCTATTCCACAAAAAGTTAGGAGTCACTGCAGAAGGCATGCATTACACACCGGCTGATTTACACTGATAATTCCATTGGCTATCCCCACAGGAACGACAAGTCTCTCTTAGCAAACAACCAGTGCTGTGGTTTCCATCAGCTCCTCTCCGACGAGCACTCAGCAACGTACCTTAAGATCAAAGTGGGCAATCTGCAGGGAGTGCAGGTAGTAAACACCATTAAGAATTTGCTTGAGAAATTCAGTTGCTTCCTCTTCAGTCAGAGATTCCTTTTCCGCCAAGAAGTCAAACAGCTCGCCACCTGCAACGCTGGAAATCAGGAGGCAGAGGTTACCGAGGACAGTTCCGTTTCGCGTCTGATGGGTTCTCTCACAGGCTATCGGCACGCTCAAATTCCGGAGAACAGCAGAAGGATGTGCTAGGCATGGGATCAGAGTTCTCACTGGATGAGAAGGCTGCATTCAGGTACATTTGTGCTCCAAAGCACTTGGGTACCATCTTCCTAATGGCACTGTGTTCACACATGAGAGAAGAGGCAGAGACATAGTGCGGGTGGGGATCACTGGATCCTTAAAACATTGTAATTAAAGGCATTTGGAAATGAAGTCACAACTCACTGACTAAGAAACAAAATGGCAACTCGGTACAGAATTTATTAAAAATACATCTTCCTAGTTCAAACCAGAGGCTACCTGGAAAGTTCACATTCCGTATGTCAACCAATGTTGTAAACCCCAAATCGCAATGCATAGTCTGACAGGATTTTTTTCCTCTAGTATTTGTTTATTGGCAAATCCCTAGATACAATATAAATCACATATAGTCATGAATTTAACAAATATCCTAAGTCAGTGGTCGGCAAACTCTAATCAACAGAGCCAAGTATCATCAGTACAACAATTGACATTTCTTTTGAGAGCCAAATTTTTTAAACTTAAACGTTTTCTAACGTCATTTCTTCAAAATAGACTCGCCCAGGCCATGGTATTTTGTGGAGGAGCCACACTCCAGGGGCCAAAGAGCCGCATATGGCTCTCAAGCTGCAGTTTGCCGACCACACACCTAATAAGAATAAACTTACACAAAATTGAAATGCACATGGTTGTTGGGATTTATTTAGTCAATCTCTCTGGCCAGACTGTAAGGCCCAAAAGGGTAGCGATCAGCCCCAGCTGTTGGCCCACATCTGTCCCACCTTCCTGAACAGTGCCCGCCGCAAAGCTAGAACCCAAAACTTCCTTATCAAGTGTAGGAAGGAGCAAACTCCCCTGATTAGTGGCAAATGACAGGGAACTCTTTTTTTTTTTAAATATATTTTATTGATTTTTTTACAGAGAGGAAGGGAGAGAGATAGAGAGCTAGAAACGTTGATGAAAGAGAAACATCGACCAGCTGCCTCTTGTACACCCCCTACCTGGGATGTGCCCGCAACCAACGTACATGCCCCCGACCGGAATCGAACCTGGGACCCTTCAGTCCGCAGACTGACGCTCTACCACTGAGCCAAACCGGTTTCGGCAACAGGGAACTCTTAATAAGAGTGTTTATAAGTTAATGTTTATCATTTAACTATACATTCACAACATAACAATTAACTGCAATTATGCATATAACTGCTGTGTTCATTATCTTCCTTTCAGCAAGGCAGCTCCATGAACATCATACCTACACTGAGTGGCCAGATTATTATGATCTCTGAACGGATACTAATTTGGCCACTCGGTGTACTTCTCTTGAGTACCTCAGTTATTTGATATCAGAGATACTATAAATCGTGCATCTGATCAGTTTTCCCCTTTGCACTGGCTGACAGAAAGCTCAGGGCAAATAGGTGGTTGATCTCCAGCAAAAGTCTAGAATATTTTTGGTACCCATGTGAGATACAAATACATTGGGTGGCCAGATTATTATGCATTCAGAGATCATAATAATCTGGCCAACAGGTGCTCATGGGATTAAACAATAGGACACAAAAAAGCTGTTTTCTTAAAGAAAGGTTTCAGAATCCTCCCTCCAAGTCAGTGTCCTCCTTAGCCTGGCCCACGGTGTACAGGATGGGGATTGCTTGGGGTGTTTGGACAATGCGGATTCCGGGCTTCACTTCCAAACATTTTGAGCAAACACCCCGGGTGACGGGTGACACGGGTGATATAGCTCACAGAAAGCTGAGGACCCCTTTTCAAAGTCTTAATTACCTGCCTCTGTGGCAAGGCCACCCTCTGATGTTTAACTTCCGGATGTTTACCCAGAGGGCGAGGTGACTCCTCCACCCTGGGCCCGGGCAGAGGGCTCTGGCAGATCTGCCAGGACGTGTCACAGCGCCAGAGCCAGCCTGGAAGGTCAGCAGCCCCCACCCTCCCGGTGGCGGAGGCCTGCAGTTGGCGACACTGTCCGGGTAGTGGCCTTCCTGTCTGCAGCCTCTCTGTCTGGCTGCCCTCTCCTCCCCACAAACACTCCGCTTCTCACTTCTCTGTGTTCCTATTCCTCTTAAAGCCAACAATAATGGCCTGGCTGGTGTGGCTCAGTGGTTGAGGGTGGATCTATGAACCAGGAGGTCACAGTTCGATTCCAGGTCAGGGCACATGCCCTGGTTGCAGGTTCCATTCTCAGTGTGGGGCGTGCAGGAGACAGCTGATCAATGGTTTTCTCTCATCATTGATGTCTCTCTCTCCCCCTCCTTTCCTCTCTGAAACCAACAAAACATAGTTTAAAAAATTTAAATATATATACCTACATATATGTATGTTTTAAAGAACCAATAATAACGGAGAGGGAATCCCTCAACCATAGGGAACAAAAAGAAGGGAAAACGGTAAACTGTCAACCGACCGCCGCTGAGACAGATGCTGCGTCCTGTTTGCCTCTGTGCCCTCTGCCGCTGGTGCCCCAGAGGGCTGGTCCGGGGGAGGCTGGCCCACAGCTGGCACATCTGGCTGAAACCTTAACTGGGCAGCCAGAGGTTATTCCGTCTCTCTGAGCCTCCTTTTCTCATCAAATGGGAATAACAGGATCTACTGTTAGTTTTAGGGCTTTGGGGATAAAGATAGTAAATATACATAAAGCCACCGGCAGGCAGGTCTGGCGGGAGGCCGAGGCCCAGAAAGCAGAACTGGTACTCCTACCAAGGAAGGGAGGCGCCTTCTTTCCTACAGAACACCCTGCTCCCCCTCCGCCAGGCAGGCTTCCCCATAAAATTCCCCGCCCGGCTTCCTCCCTCTCTTCTCCAGCCCATGATGTGGCCAGACTGCTGCACCCCAGAGAGCTTCTCTAGGGATTGTGGTGCCCAGCCCCAGCTTCTCTTTCCCCCCTCCAGGGCCTTCCGCACCTCCCCCCCCCCTCCCACAGGCCGCTGGTTCCTGACTTGGAGAAACAGTGGGGGTTTGGCTGCCTGGAGCCGAGCCAGGGACAATCTCGGAGCTCCCGAACAGCTTGGTGCAGGCAGGAGACCCGAGTCCTTTCTAGGAACCCCACTTCTTCCCCAGCCAAGTCTTAGCTCTCCTTTTTTTGGCTGTAGTGGACATCTCATACTCCCCTATTCAGTTTTTTTATTTTTTTTAAATATATACTTATTGATTTCAAAGAGGAAGGGAGAGATAGAGCCATAGAAACACCAACAATGAGAAAGAATCATTGATCGGCTGTATCCTGCACACCCCTACGGGGGATCGAGCCTGCAACCCGGGCAAGGGCCCTTGACCGGAATTGAACCTGGGATCCTTCAGTCCTCAAGCTGATGCTCTATCCACTGAGCCAAACCGGCTCGGTCCCCGTATTCAGAATAGTCTTCTTGTGCTGAGCAACTCGCCTCCAAGGTGCTCCCTGACCACAGAAGTGAAATCCAGGAGCAACCCTGGAGACCCGAGGTGAGGGACCAGCCCGAAGGGCAGCAGCGCCTGACAGGACTGAGGAAGGAGGCTCGGGCCGGGCCATCTCCAGCTCCCTCCTTCCACCCTGCTCGCAGGTCAGGCTCAGACATCCTGCTGTTCACCAGGAGTCCACGGCATCTCTGGTCCAGGAAGCCAAGTCATGCAGCTGGACATTAGGGGGGTGAGGGAGCCCAGCTCACTAGACCCGCACCCATCACTGCTTCCTGCGGCCTGAAGGCCCCACATACACACGTATGCATCCTCCCCACACCCATTCGGAGAGGCAGATGGCTCCACCATGAGTCTCTACTTATAAAATCTTTACTCATTGATCAAAGTAATTGGAAGGAAGTGATTTCAGCCAAGGGTGGGGAGCAGACAAGCATCATTTGGCAGTTTACTGTTCCCCCCCCCCCCCCTCCGGCTCCAATCTCAGAAGGTAGAAGCGCCCTGAAGGCTTTTTCACGTAGGCACTTCACACACATGCTCAGAACCAGAGCTCAAAGCTGAAGATATCGCTGAAGAGCAGAATAATGTTAACAAGGGATCCGTCAAACCTGGGCACTTTTGCTCTTTGTTCCAAATTGTACATTTTGCTTAAAAGAAGGAAGATGGATGGAGAGATGAGCAATCTGTGCAGCAAATTTAGAAAGCCTAACCTCCTTTATTAGGTCTCTGAGTCAGAGTGTTTTAAACTGTAGCATTATCATGGAAATTATGTGAAATGAATGCTAATAGTACTGGCTGCTTTCTCAGGAGAGCTGAGGACTGTGAAGGTTCCCTCTCCTCCGTCCCTCCCCCTCCCACCAATGCCTTTCCTAAAAGCAATCCCTAACAGAATGTAATTGGGATACATTACAGCTTTGAAAACAAAGTGGGCCTTCAGAGTTACATAAGAGAAACGATCACAGGGTTCCAATCTCTAAAATAAAACCACTATTTGGGGTTTCTAACTCTTCCCTAGAAATTATGCAAGACTTCACAGGACTTGATTCTGGGACTGCCTCTGATCATGGGGCAGTACCAGAATCAAGAAGCTGGGGAGATTCCTTGACAAGTGGAATAAAAGGCATTACAGTTAAAAGAGACCAAACAATCTGAGCAATTTACAGCCAGCTAATGAATCACAAGGTTTTATCTTTCCCACCCAAGGAGCAAATGGGCAAATGGTTTACCCGTTCCAGACTGCCTGGGGGCAGACTGGCCTGGATCCTGGTTCCTCTTGGATGATGTTCTTTAAAATGAAACTAACCAGAAAATAACCCCTGACACCTCTATACCCAGCAGAGGGCCTCAAGATGGACCAGGGATCAACAGACACATTAAGTTTAAGAATATGGATCCCTTGCCTGGCCCTCAAACATTGACCTATGAGCTAGGAGGTCACGGTTTGATTCCTAGGTTGTGGGCTCAATTCCCATTGTGGGGTGAGCAGGAGGCAGC